AACGAGAACGGCTATATCATATCGGGCTCATCAACTCCTAACCCACGTCAGCATCGGGCCGTGAGCTGCATCGCTTCTAGTGCCATTTCAGAATGCAATGAGCATTTACTCGATGATTGCGATTATGATTCTAAAATAAGCAGCCCACTTTTGCAACACAATGAGATAGACTGCGATGTAACTTCAGTGTCGGGAGAAAAGCAGGGACACCTGTTGTTGGTGTTGGAAGAAGAACAGGAGCACTTACTAGAAGATTGTGCAGCAGATTCTGGCCCTTCTACTCCTCTCCGACAGCACCGAATTTCAAGTTGTGTCGTCTCTAGCCCCTCAAGCAATAGAACTTCCGTGGTAAAACAGCACAGAGCTTCTAGTTGCCCCTCTATCATACCAGCCGAGGGTAGCCAACCAAACAGCACATCTCATGATTCTCTTCGACTTCCTGGTGGACTCCTCGTCGATACCAGTGATAATGACCAATCAACTCATACAAACTACGAGGATTGTCTACACAGTCTGGATGACTGTATTGCTCCAGCCGACAGAGCGAGAATGGAAGCTAGTGCAAGTCGGGACACCGAATTTGAAAAATACAGCACAAGGATTGCTCGACATTTCAACGACCAAAGCTCGGAGTTTAATGAAAAGTCCACTATCGGAAAAGAAGGGAGTCGGAGACCTAGACTTAACGATTTTGCTTCACACGAAAGCGACGCTCGATTTACACTTGCCCAAGTCCTTTCTGAAGATCAAGAGAATCCCTTTATCGGTGTGACTCCAATTGACGGGGATGGAACCATGAGTATGGCGAGCCGAAAGGGCAGCGTAGCACCGCCAGCACCATTTCCATCACCCGCTGCACCTTATCCCTCGCCCATCACGCCGTTGCATATTTCTGGCGCCTATCCGCCATCTATCACGCCTTCGAGCCTGAGGAAAGAAAAGAGGAGATTTCCTTCGGAACAAAGTTCGGCGGGGAGTGGGTTTGCTAGTTACTTTGGATTCGGTAGCTCGAAGAAGACATCGTCAGGGTTGTGAGTGGCCACTGTTGATCTTTTACGGATTGCGACGGCGCTGACATGCTTGTAAGAATTGATGATGGTGGTGGTAATACCGGTAGAAGGGTTGAGAGTGGAAATGCAAGTAGAGTTTGGAGTATGGGATTGGGGGCTGTTGAACAGGTATCAGTTGAGGAATTGGAGCTGGAGGAGTTTATGAGTTGAGATTATTCGGAGACTGGGAGAATTGGAGCGGATCATATCGTTACGAGTGGTGATGCTATGGGTGATATTATTCGTGATGAGGATGTATATAATATCCATTCCCGTTACATTCTTTTGTGGGTTTGTTTCCAAAATGCCATTCATACATACATACATACACACATAGCTTTGAATCCGCAAAATTGCAATTGAATACTAGAGGAGAGATGACGGAAAGAAAAGACATACTTTAATAAATTCATTCGTTATCATGATGACATTTGCCTGGCTCGCTTGGGCAGTCGAAGATTTGGAAAGTGGATATATGTGATGGATGCGTGTACACAAGGAGGCTGGTAATTTATAGAGGAGGTGGAAATTTCCAAGAAAGAACTTATGCACGACATACATACGCAGTCCAGACCCATCTGCAGGTCACACTCACACAAGCATATGCCCTGCATCGTACTCCATATATACCCCATAATCTCGAGAATCCGTCCCGCAATCACATTCATTACATGCAAGTTCGTAGGTACCTACCTACCTACCGTGTATTCATTCATTCGCATTCGCATTCATATTCATATTCACTTGACTATCACCTCAAAAAAAGTCGCCCGAGATATATTTTGCAAGTCTTTGCTTGCTTCACTCGCTACTGACTGACTGACTGACTGACTGACTGTATGGATGGATTCATTCTAACATGAACACGAAGATTTTCTTATTACATTTAAAAATTTGATTTCTTGCCTCCCTCCCTTCCTGCCTGCATGCCTGCCCGTCTGTGTCTGTCTTATGAAACCAATGAATACTATGCTTCCCCTTCTCTGGTGAAGATGACTGGCCATGCAGCGAATGCAGTGCCAGATCAAGATAAGACAAGAATGGACTTGATAGAAAGTAGGAGAGATAAAATTACAAGAATTTCTTCCCCTTTCCCTCCAATTTCCCCGCGCGCCTTTCCCGAATGCCCATTGGTTGAGATGTGTGTAATGTGAAAAATTGCCAGATTTCTAGAATGATCTGGTGTGATGTGGTATGTGAAGATTTCTTCGACTTTCCTGTGTTGAAGGTTTCGTGTTTTCCTCCTTTGCATTGTGCATTTCGATTGGGATTGTGGGAGAGGTTGATGTTGGTATTGAGTAGTGGGTAGTTTATAAGTAGAATTTACACAATGTAGAAGGAGAATGAATGATGGTCGCGGAATCGAGGATTGAGGTTGACAGAGAGATTGTTGGGGGCGTAAAGAAATAGGTATTCGATTCAAATCGTAAGATTAAAACAACGATTTAACCGACGGATTGGTAAAGGAGAAGAGGTTCGCCAACATTTTCGATTTCGGGGATTGTGCATTTGAGGTCGAAGGCTTTTGAGAGGACAATCTTGAAAATCTGCAATTGGGTGGTTTGTCAGTTGAAGGTTTGGTATATAAGCAGTATGGCGTGACCGCAAGCAAGTATGTAAGAATGAAATATAGATGGTCTTACCTTTTGAACGTTGATGCTATGGCTTGTACTACTAAAAATCAGGCTTGCGCGCATTGCTTTTGCGAATCTTCGAGCCTGATGTCGCATCTGTTAGCACGCCTCAAAACGAAACGAAATCGAAGAATTGGTCAAACTAACCTGATTTGAGATCTCCTCTTGATCCTCTCTCGGAAAATTCACAAAATGATCGTATTTTGTGCCGACCAGGAACGGAATCGCAGTCTTGTTGAAACCTCTCCCCTGCCTATACCACTCCTTAATACTATTCAACGTGCTCTTTCGCGTCAAATCAAACATGAATAATATAGCTACTGCATCGTTGCAAACGAGCGGTAACATATTCACGAACTCTCTCTGTCCTCCCAGATCCCATATTGAAAATGTAATCTCAGTATTGCGTATAGATATAGTTTTCTCCATGAAGTTAACACCCAAGGTTTGAATGTAATCTTCGTCCCAACTACCTTCTACATATTTGACCATTAAGGAGGTTTTGCCAATTTGAGCATCCCCTACCATGCCGACTTTGATGACGACACTATTCTTCGAGCCCCGTTGTTGCTGCTGTTGCTGATCTGTACTCGCACCTGAGCCCCGTGAATTTTGTTCTTGGTATGCGTTGCCATAGTTGCCTTGACCTGACAAACCTGAAGCCGGGCGCGAAAGTGACGCGGGAAAAGTCGTGGGAGGGGTAGCATATCGACCATTTGTAGGTTCTTCTTGTGGAGGTGACGCAGGATATTCTTGTGGATATTGTGATGGGGTTTGAAAATCTGCAGATGCAGACGCAGAGTGTCGACTGTTATGCGTTGGCGTATGTGCTCTCTCCTCCATTCCGCCCATAGCATCGTCTTGAGGTGGGTCGACTCCCTGATTCTCGTATGCGATTTCGGCGTCCATCGAATCTACTGCGTCGTGAAATTGAGCGGGAGAGCTCACTGGTAAAGTGGTAGGATCCAGGTTGACTGATTTATGGGTAATTATAGAGATGAATGAATGTGTAAGGTTACCTATGAATCTTTATAAGGGTGAGATCTCGAATTGGCGGCTGGAAGAAGGAGATCAACACTGGGATGTTATGGTAGATCATTCACGGCTGATTGTAGAGTAGTGTAGGTAGTGTAGGAGTGTAGGTAGTGTAATGTGGTGTAGTGTGTAAGTTATTTTGGTATCAAAAATTGTCGACGAATCTATAACCGCCGTAGATGAAAGCCACCACGATGAAAGTCAAGATATGAATGACTAATAAGATTCACGGAGAGATTTTGAATTGTATTTTGGTTTGGACGATTGAAGTTATACCTCGTGAGAAATATCCAGGGGGTTTTTAATAAGCTTGGGACAAGACAAGGCCAGAAGACAAGGCAAGGCAAATAATTGTCATGCGGTGGTTCGGCGCTTGGGCGTGCGAAAGGCAACTCGGGCAGGTCGACCAGAGACAGTTTACTCCGTAATAAAGAAGGGAGGTAGGGAGAGAGGGAGAGAGGAAGGGAGGGGAGGAAAGGAGATAGTAGATATTCCCTTCTTTTCGACGCGTCTTCCTCTGAGAGTTCTTTGGGTTTGTTGTGGATGTGAGAAAAGAAGAAGGTTGTGTTTGTTTATTATGATGTTGATTGATATTATCATCAAAGTACCGGTACCTAGGTATTGAAGAAGGAGAAGAAGGAAAAAGACTTTATTCCTAGATACACTTCGACCAGTACATTCTTCCAGTTGGGAAAGTAATACGATAGAATCTACCTAGGTAGGTATTTATATATTGTGTTTGTTTTTATATCGTGTGTGTGCTTGTATTTATATTGTGTTTGTTTTTGTTATTGTTATTGTTTTTGTTTGAATTTTCATTTGCAGTTATATCTGTATTTTAATATATGGTCATTTTATACATTATACAGAAACATATACGATATACACATATTATTAGCCAATTGATATTCTTGCTCCTATTGATATTCAGATTCCTTTTCCTCAGGTGGGGGTTTCATTCAATTCAATAGCTCGCCATTGGGTTCCCTCGTTGTCCTCCCTCCCTGTCTTTGGAGACGGAGACAGAATAGAGACAGAATAGAGACAGAGACAGAGACATCTTGACAAGAGACCGCTGGTGGCCCTGGATTTTTGTCGGCTTTATTTTGGGACATTTCTCTGATTGGCTCAATCTCTTCTGATCCATCCATATCAACAATCCTCATTTTTATTATCTCACACCTCTCTTACACTCTATTGATAATTGAATTAATGATTCCTTGACTAAAGCTCAACTCCACCCCAAAATTCTACCCCTCAAACACCATTTACATATACAATAATGGCATCAATCGCAAGGAGTTTAAGGCCATGTGCCTCAAAAATTACATCCAGCACTTTCAACACGGTTCCGTCGTGGAGATCTTCATCTTTTGGAGCTGTTCGAGCTTTCTCAGTATCTAGAGCTGGTAAGTTGATCTTCTTATCCAAGGTGCTCCGACCACCGGCCTATGTCATAGAGCTTTTATGCGCAGAGTGAAGAAGTTGAGCCAATGTGGTCTACGGCGTGTGGATGAGACTTTGGAAGACTCGCAATCTAATCACTATCATGGGAATCTTTATTGGAGTCCGATTCTACCCATTTCATACCATATATCCCACCAATACTGACACTTTCTCTCCCCAACCGCAGCTTTCAACAAGAAGTATACCAAAGACCACGAATGGATTCTCCTCTCTTCCGATAACAAGACTGGCACAATCGGTATCAGTGATTATGCCGCACATGCTCTCGGTGACGTCGTTTATGTTGAGCTTCCCACCGTCCCATTAGAGGTCGGCGCTGGTGATGCCATTGGGGCCGTAGAGTCTGTCAAGAGCGCATCCGATATCAACAGCCCTATCACTTGCAAGATTGTGCAAGCTAATACGATGTTGGAGGAAGCACCAAGCACCATCAACAAGGGTCCCGAAGATGAAACAAGTGCCGGAGGCTGGGTGGCCAAGGTTGAAGTTGGGGAACAAGGAGTTAAGGACTTGGAAGGGTTGATGGATGAAAGTGCTTACAAGACATTTATTGAGGAATAGGCAGCGCGATGGGAGTTGGTATATGACGAGAAACGAGGGCATGATTGCATGGACGGGCGGGGCATAGCATAGACGGAGGATTCAACTCAACATTGATGAATGTGTATTTGGGAATGGAGTTTATTCAACAAACATAAGGGTTGGAGGGGAATGACACTGGATTTGCTACATTTATACATGTATGCAGCTTGTAGCCTTCTTGGAACATATTTGAAAGCTATTGGTGGTCCAGCCAGTCAATCTATGTAAAGGAAAAGTTTACTTTTGTAGCCTATGTGTCTGTGAAAAACGATGTCATTCGGGGCTTCAACTATGCATTACCACCCTCCTTAATGACAGGTCGATTAAGGTTGATGGCCTCCAGTATTTTGGCAGCACCCTTGCTAACCAAGTCTTGAGCAAGAGACCATCCAAACTCATCAGCGTCTTTTGGTGTTAGGATCTCCTCCAACCTCTCTGATTCCACACTCTCTGTGCCATCAAGACTGACAACGATAGCCTTCATTAACAATTTCCCCTTTTCGATCCAGGTCGTCTCAACTCCGATCGGCACACTGCATCCACCCTCCAGAGTTCTCATCAAGCTTCGTTCTGCCAACCCCGCCAATTGAGTCGGTTCATGTTGTAACGCAGAGATCATCGTGCTGATTTCTTCGTCGCCATCTCTAACCTCCAAAGCCAACGCACCTTGTCCCACAGCATGCAACATACCGCCACCCTCTGTTTTACTATCCAGATACTGCGTGATCCTCTCTCCCCAACCCATTCTTAATAAACCCGCCGCCGCTAAAATCAAACATGAATATTTCCCATCATCCGCATCCAGTTTGTTCAATCTAGTTCCAATGTTGCCTCTCGCGTTCTCAAACTTTAACTCGGGGTACTTCCTAGCTATCTGCGCGCTTCTTCTCACACTACTTGTTCCCACAACGCTTCCTGCTGGCAGCTCTGACAAGCTCTTATAGTTACTTCCTGCCTTCATAATCAACGCATCCCGAGGATCCTCTCGTTCAAGAATTGCACCAATTATACATTTAGTCGGTAACTGCGTCGGCATATCTTTAAGGCAGTGAACCACAATATCCAACTTCCTGTCCAGTAACAAAGCCTCGAGTTCATGTGTCCATAAGCTCTTTGCGCCGAAATCATGCAGAGCAGTTACTTGATTCTTGTCGCCCATCGTTTCCAATTTGGTAATCTCGAAGTTTAAATGGGGATGAGCTTTTTCGAGCGCAGCTTTTACTTGCTCGGTTTGCACCATGGCGAGTGCGGATTTGCGTGTGCCAATATGAATAGTGGCTGGCTTCTCATTTTGGGATGTCTCGCGTTCGGATTGGTGATCGAGGGCGCGGAGGGGTGCAGCGTCTTTGGAGGACTTTTCTTGGGTACTGGTAGTGGGGTCAAGAACGGAGCGGGAGGATGTAGATTCTTTTTGCTCATGAGTTGCCATTTTGAATTGGGTATGAATTGAAAGTTACTGGAGCTTTCAATTTGGATCTGGGGTATAGAGGGATTGGAGTCGGGAGGTGGAAGAGCAGCTGAGTGTTGCTCCTTCATAGTGGGGGGTATTTCTGTGAGCTTATAATCCACTAAACCCCTCTATTGACAGGGGTAAGGTTATTGGTTCCACAACCGTATGTATCTCGTTCAAGTGGGATTCACCAGGAAACACAAACATAAAACCACAACTACAATCGCAACCACAATCAACCATTACTTTTACCATATTCACCACTCTGGAGTAATTAAGTCGAGAACAGATAAATAGAGGACAACTGTTCTACTCGATACAATATGAGACAAGACATTATTTGACACCACTCAAGTCATGTCTGAAAAGGAAGAAACAGACTTAACAATGATCTGTCTGACACACAGGTCATGAATCTCACATAATACCTCTACTACAAGTTGGAATTTATCCATGACCAAGCATTGAAAGACGCAGTGTTTGAAGTCAGACCTGCCATCTGTGTTGACTGAATATTGATAAGACACAAATGTTGAAGCACCAAAACAATCACCCTTCATTGATTCTCATATCTAATACACCCTTTCATTCTTTCCTACGGTTCTTCCGTAACCTTCTTTGCAATTTCCAAGACACTCTCCAACTCTCTTGCATCCGCGCGGCCTAGACCGCACTCTGTTGCGATACCAAAATCTGCTACAACTTCACTCGCAGATTTGATTCTTAATTTCGTTCCCTCTAGGTCATCCTGATGCAAGACTCCCAAATACAACTCTGTGTCATTCTTCTCCAAATTTTTCAATGGTTCAAAGTATCCTCGATCAACCCGATCTTTTGGTACAGGCATATGAATCCAATTGACAGATCTTCTCCGCCTTGTTCCAGTCAAGACTCGATTCGCAATATCGACTAATAAGCTCATGTCTTTCGGTTGCGTGAAGTGTTGATGTCCAAGATCACCGTAGCAGAAATGGAAGCCCAGTTCGACGGATGGATCTATAGCATCTGCTAATTCGAGGACACGGTTGATGATACTGTCTTTCAAAGCCATGATCCACTAAAACGTCGAGTTAGTACTCGTCTAGGACGCTGAAACAGGAAATGATAGAGATGTCACTAAGTTCATGAATACTTACGTGCGGTGGAGGCAACACAATTCCTTCCAGAAATGCGAACTCTACAGCAACGTCCCATTGTATAGCCAAATCTTCTGCAGGAATCTCATCTTGGATACGACGAACAGCTTTCAGTAAAGCCTTCGCATAAACTGGCTCAACTGCTTCTTGATAAGCTGGCTCTATTGCTACGTGAAGAACATTGATAGGTGTAGGAAGCGAAACCTGGAATTTCACCCCGTTCGGTATAGTACCACTATCCCGAAGTCGACAAAAAGTAGCATATGAGTCTATGGCAGCATCGTCATATCCAACAGGCATGAGTTGGATCTTCTCAGGAGAAATGGGAATCGGGCCTGGATCCTTGGCCAGGGAGAAATATAAAGAGCGGATAAGATAAGGGTATTTGTAGAACACGCTTCTTTGCCAGAGGACGAAGTTCCCTCGGTTACCGGGCTCACCATCGGGGATACGCTTTAGTTGAGTTGGAAATGCAGCACTGAGTGTACGGTAAACCGTGGGTGTGTCAGGGAGACAGATACTTCCCACGAAGTGCACATTCTTGCCGGAAGGAGATGCCATATCGAAAGTTTCGCAATTAGTGCTACGTAGGATAAAGTGTCCAGAAAAGAGATTATGATATAAAAAGAGCACAAAAAATAGGTAAGGGAAGCCGAGCTAGCTGTATGGTCTGGAAAGAAAAGGATTGATACAGTAATATCATCTCAAGCTGAACGACCGGAGCCTCTTATATAAATCATTTCACATTCAAAATTTTCCTCGAATACTTTATTTGGGAAGCGAAGGAATACAGCTACACCAGTGCAATGTGAGTTGGAATGCAATCATTCAATTGGCAGTTCAACAGCAGAGTTACATTGAACAATTGTACTACTCTAAGGGAAAGCCCCTCGGTTCACGCTTCTTTCGCTCAATTTTGCAAGCTGAGCTTGATAAACAAGGGTCTAGAGAGGGAATATCCAGCATAGAGTGACTCGAAAAGGTTGTTGACATCGAATGGCACTGAAGGATTTCACTTCGTCAGCGTTTACACAGACCACGAGTTCTCCAATCAGCCTCATAGACATGACTTCAAACGTCACATATGGATCCACCAACATGGCACCAAGCTTTAGCTCTGCAGCGAATTTATTGAAGATTGGAAATTTCGTGGATTAGGCATACTAGGTATGTCACATTCATGTCCGAGCCTCCTTCTCTTTGCAGATTTTGATAATTGAGCATAGGGTAAATAGTAAGATCGGGGTGATATGATACGGGATAAGAGGTCGGAAATGGGCAATTTACGGGTTTTCATAACTGTTGGTGGTGGGGGGAGCGCTTGGCGTTGGAGTGATGTTGGTGCTGATGCGGAATTAGGAAACTCCCAACGGGTTTCCAAAAAATTAGGATGCGTGGGCAAGCATAATATTTTAGGTTTAGATGCAAGAGCTGCTTTGTAGTCGCCGATTAAGCTTGAAGTTTGAAGAGCTTTTGGTTAAGATCTGGTAATGTTATTGCTAATGTTGATGTTCTGTTTTGCTTTGTGTCGTTTACTTTCGATGCCGAATTCGAATACTCCAATACAGTACATAATCAGACTGTTAGTTCTGAGGAATGAGATATGAGGGATACAGAGACTAGATGGAGTAGAAGAGACAAAGAAAATTTCAAAGGGATCATATGTCGCTCGTCAGGCTTTCCATACATACCGCGAAGGAATGATAATACGCCATGCATAAATTCGTTGTAATACGTCAGTGGAGGAAGTGAGCCTTCAAATACCACTCTACATACAAGTTGTATGGAGAGAAGTAGCAAGCGAAAAGTAAGGACGTGGAGTGGAGAAATAAGATAAATGCTGGTGCGGCACGAGCGCTACCTGGTTACTGAAATTTGCTTGGATATAAGCGCAATGTGATACGAAGATGCAAACGCGGCGTGGTGCGGTGCATTTTATGACTCATGATTGGATTGGTCAGAAAATACGATGCGGCGCGGTATGAGGCACAGGCTTTGAAGAACAATACACACATCAATGCATTTCGTGGTTTCTATGGGAAGCGGCGAGGTGTGACTATGAGTTATGTAGTAGGCGGTTAAGTCATATAAAGATCGGGCGTAGAATGAAGTGGGATGAGGTGAGGAGAGGGGTGGTAAGAGATGTGGATGCAAGATTTGAATTATGTTTTTGGACCGTAAGACTAGGTAGGTATCCCAGCAAGCTAGAATTCGAGAATCTTCATTTTAGACACACAAACGTTCACATGAATTTTTTTTTTTGAACCAGATTCATGTTCTTGTGCAAAATTCGAACTTTTCCTAAATACAACTGTTTTCTTGTCATGCGCTTGTCTTTCCATGCTACAACACCACAGTCTTTGATAATTTTGAGCCGCCCCCTTTTCACCACCTTGATATTTTTTTCCCCGACATAGCAAACTAACGCGACGAGTAAAGAAAAAGCATCTAGACAGCGCTCCAGGCGAACTTGACAGAGACGCTTTGGCTGGAGGTGTAAACGGTTGCTTGGGTAGAACCGGATGGGGTAGCGGTGGCGTAGAAGGTAGATGAGCCGCCGTATGTAAGGTAGCCACCGGAGGACTGGGATGTGTTAGTGGGTTGGGGTTTGATATGGAAGGGGAAGAGGAGAAGAATAAAACTTACTCCGAAAACGGTGGAGACACCGGCGCCGCAGGAAAATGTACTGCCGGAGATACCGCACGTTCCCTTGGAGGACTTGAGGGTGAAGCCAGTCCCTAGATTGAGAGTTAGTGGTGTTCGTTTGATGGTAGATGAGGAGTTGAGGTAGGTCTTTTGATAACCATTTTCTCATCAGGAGTGGGGGAAAAGAGGCTTACCAGAAGCAGTGGCAGTGTATGTAGCACAAGTACCGCTAGTGTACCAGGTACCTGCACTAATCAAACATCCGTTATTGGTGCTTCCAACATATGCCTCCAAATAACCAGATCCAGAGAAGCTGCCAGTGCCAACAGGAGCAGTCGCGGTGGTAGTTGGAGTACCAGAGCCGGACTTGGGAGTATACTTAATGCCGGTACTGGGGCAGTTTCCAGATTGACCGACGGGAGTAATGGGAACGAATGTTCCGGTAGCAACGGAACCGCGTACTTCAAAGGAGTACCAAATTTCATCGAGAGAGGAAGAAGTACATTGAATGGTGGCAGGATGTCCGAAACCGGCGGTGATGGCTGCTTGAATTTGAGCAGAGGTGTAGGTTTTGGTGGTGGAGGGCACGATGCCAGCATTGGCTAACCACTGTGGTGATGTTAGTTACTTCTCTCTTTTGTTTATGTGGAAGGCTACTTACTGTGTAGGTAGGAAGAATCTTGAAAAGATCAACAGCAACGTTGAAGAAGTCTACAACTTCTGCACCGGTGGTGTAGCTGCTGTAGCAAGAAGGCTCAAGAGTACTGATACAAGTTCCGTGCTTGTTCCACTCGTGTTCCCAGAACACCTCATTGGTAGAGTCATCACTGACCCAGTAGGTGTTCATATACGAGAGCAAGGATGTTTGGCCAGCAGCAGAAAGGATGTTGGTTATGCTTGAATATTGACGACTGGTATCGCAATTTGAATCATAGGTACCATCACAGTGATCGGGCCATAAACCGTGGATTGTCCAAGAGTTGGAAGGACCTTGAGTATGATTAGTTTCCAACTTGTGAAGCGAAGGTAGGAGGGAAAGAGATTTGTATACCTGTGCTAGGATTGGAGTCCCAGAATTGGGTCTGGACCATTTGACCACCAGGAGTATTGAAGCAGCAAGTATTGGTACTGGAACCGCTACAACTCAATGCTGGACTCGAACATACCAAAGGAGTCGCAGCTAGACTGGCTGCGCGTGCAGCTGGTGCCAGAAGCACAAATGGCAAAAGAACTTTGGAGATTGAGGAAGTCATTATTGCACAAAGTTTCAATACCAAGGGAAAGCGAGGGAAATCGATGCTTCTATATCACACAAAGAAGATTTACCACTACTACCGAGGCCAAAGATATATAACATTTCCAAATCGCACTCATTCGCCATGGGTGATAAGCAATCTTCACCAAAACGTGTCACACTCCATTGGTGTTGGGTTGTATTAGAGACATTATCTAAGAGAAGAAGGTGTATAAGAAAGGAAAGGCTGGACGACATGGCAATATTCCATGCTCATAGGTCAATTGTGATATCGAACTACGATGTTTTGAAGGTTCCTAAATGGGCTAGAACCGACGCTTGATACTATATTGATCTCCATTTTATGCTTGTCCCCTGATCGGCAGTCAAATGAAAGGACTTGATTCCCCAATCGATAAATGAAGAAAGTTAATAAGGCTAATCGATAGTCAGGTACATTACGTATTCTTACCGTCTAGCGAATGATAGATGATAGATGATAAACTTCCCTACCACTCGGTTATCATTCGCCGAGGAAAGATTTTCTCTTGGAGCAACAACAGGAGGTAAGATGTTGTGCAGGCTCAAAATCCCCTGAAGATAATGATAGAAAAATTAAAAAGTTCCTATCATCCCTTGTGATGTTTCTGATGGTTGTTGTCGTGGACTCTTTAAGTAGTTTTTGGAAGGTAGCCACACAGATTGCTGGGATTTACTCGAGCGACCTTCTAAAATAAGAACGCCAAGCATCCTCTCACATTTCGCTGCTCGCCGTCGTCCATCAATGATTATCATCATACTGTCGCTTCTGAGGTCCCACGATTCTACCACGATATGAAGATATGAAGGTATGAAATCTCTGAAGACGTGAAATATTGCTGGCGGTAATTTCGGTCCCGTTAACCCTATTAAGCTATCACATGTGATATGTTTCCCTGGTTTGCAGTAAATCGGTGCGCGCCGCTGTAGATGCAGATACCGGTAGATAGATCGGATTGTGGAGACACCGAGGTCTGGAGAATTGAAAGCAGGTGACCTATCATCCCGCCACGGGTGCTTCCATCCGATGGACAAACAACCAAACAATATCGTCGTCGATTTTGCTAGTATCATCGCCGTCTGTTTTCGCAACGCTGTTGACACAATCACCGCAATCACATCAACATCGTCTTACAACATCACGACTCTTTGTCAAATCGTATCGATTGGTCGTAATACTTTGGGACATTGTGAGATTCATTGAAAATGAAAAACTTGATTGTGAGTGTTGGCCCAGTTTGTGTGCCCTCATGCATCTAGTCAATGTACTCGTCCAAAGATTTCGGATAAAACAAAGGCATGGGGCATTGGCAAGCTCTTGGTGTCGAGAACATAACTTCCTAAATAGTCTGAAGCGTGCGTGGACAATCGGTGCAAATGTTGATATTGGGAGGAGGGCTTTGCAAAAGTCCAAAGATTGGATGATCAAGAATGGTGTAAGATTATTGACCTAGGTTAATCAATAACCTTCAGATTCAAACCCTCGTCCACGCGAATCACATTTTGCATCATCAGAATGTTGTCGATGCTTATGGTCATGTGTCTGTTCGCCATCCGGACAACCCAGGTATCTTTATTATGTCGGCATCGACCGCGCCAGCATTGGTCTCATCCATCTCCGACTTGGTACATTATAATGTATCCGATGCTGCTCCAGTAGATCCGAAGGCGAAGAAGGGCTACCAAGAACGGTTTATCCACAGCGAAATTTACAAGAGATTTTCAGAAATCAATTGCGTTATCCACAGTCATGCCGAGGCCGTAATCCCCTACACGATGAACGGAGTCCAGATGAGACCGATATTTCACATGGCTGGGTTCTTAGGTATGATACTCTTCCGGGAAAGATGCATGAATATGTATATAATGATTACTTATAGGTGACCACGTACCTAATTTTGATATCACGGAGCTATACACCTCGAACGATAGACAAGACTTCTTGGTAAACTCTGGACGGTTTGGCAGTGCCTTGGCCGAGAAATTTTCCAAGCCGGAATCAAGCACCCAAGACTATAACGTCGTCTTAATGGCAAATCACGGTTTCACGACGGTTGGATCAAGTATCAAGCAAGCCATCTACCGTGCCGTTTATACTCAAGTCAACGCGGGTCTCCAAGCAAAAGCTCTTATGCTCAGGAACGCCGAGGGAAGAGTTGCTGACCTTGGCCCTTTAAGGTTTTTGAATGCCGAACAAGCTTCTGGTTCCGAAAAATTTAACGACGACACCGCAGAAAGACCTTGGCAGTTATGGGTGCGAGAAGTTGAGGCAAGCCCTTTGTATCAGAATGAAGCAATACAGATGGATTCCTCAGATGAGGTATGATACGGAAGATTAAGCTCTTCGCGTTTCTACTCTGTGTTATTGAGATTGTGATGGGCCATAGTGCTATGGTCCATATTTGAGAAGGGGACGTAAGTTCAATTCATGCATTCGATTTCCGAGCCATTACTAGTTCAAAAAAGCTCGATATTGCTTTGCCAACTCTTAGTCACGTAGATACATTTGATATCTAGTTTCTAGGTATGAAAAACAACCGCGAGACTACGTCCAAACAATGTGGCGTCGACTAAAACAGAATTTCTTTCATCTCATTTCCTAAATGTCGTCTTCAAACTTTGACCCCTTGGGAAGGAAAGTTCCTACCACCAATTATTCTACCTATACTTGCTTCATTTGACCGAGATTTGGATCATTTTGATGTTGATCCGCGGTTGGAACTTGGAAGAACACATATGCAGGGTTTTACAGAATGTCAGCCAAGACTTGCGATGAAAAACGTCAAACGTTGGGGGAGATTTGTCAAAATGGAATTTCTGAGGAAACTTAATCTGTTTATAGTATGTCAAATTGTGAAATGTCTGGAGATGCAACTCGTTTCCAGAGATTTCGGGGTTTACGCTGTGACCTTTAAGGGATTCTCATACGACGCTAGAACCTGCCAAGAACTAGAATTATCAGAAAGCTAACGCCAAAAAGCATAGCCAGACTTACCAAAGCCATTTCAAAACGTCGCCGTGACTTTGCAATCACAGCCAAGATAATTGCTTCCTCGCATTTGGTCTGTGCTGAGTCTCTCGAGAGCTTGATACCATTCCTGTGCATCGCGTTGTCGGTGTCACTTGGCGTTTGACGAAATATTGGCATTCATCCCACGCGAAAAAGGGTCATAATCAAAACCTGTGAATTGTTAGGATCTCAGAATAGGAAAATCGTTCGATTGGCTAGAACCTCGATGTTAGGAACCGTGGGTGTGGTGTGGGGTTGGCCAAAGCTATATTGCACGGCCTCTGGAAATTATTGGCAACGCATTTTCTGTATGAATTCTTGATATAAGAAGTCTTGTCCTCATGCACCCAAGAGTTTTAATTCCTCAGCTGTGCTCCATTTGATTCTTTTTGATCTTTATTTACACATCTAAGCTTGACGCTCAAGATATTCGTTCACTTAATTCATCCCACTACCCTTATTTCACAGCCCGTCTCCAACGCAAGCACCTCTTCACAATCCACTTTCAAAATGTTGACCAACTATCTTGTTATGGCCATGATCGCCACTAGCATCTCGGCACTCCCTCTGAACATCAACCTTGGCGCCTATTCACCTGCCTTGGTAGTCGGTGATGGTGAAATATCATTCGGAGGGAAAGCAGATGTATCGAACCTCATGAACGCGCTCGAAGGAGCCGCTGTTAATGGCGCCGCTACAAACGGTGCCGCAGCGAACGGTGGTGCCGCCGCCACAACCCCAACACAAGCACAAGCAGCACCAGCCGTAGCTGCCGCACCCGCCGCCGCCGCCGTTCAGGGAGCTACCGAAGACAAGACCGAAGCTCAAGTAACAGCACTCCAAGGAATGGGCAAGGAAATCGCACCCCGTGTTGTCAAGCTCGAGAGATCGGATGTAGATAGAGCCGCAAAACGTGACATCCAAACCTTGACTGCCGCTCTCAACTACGCTGCCGGTGCCATCAAGACCAGCCCCGAAGTCCAACTCGGAACCGAAGAGTCTGGTGTTGGTATTCTCGTCAAAGCTGGAGGCACCGGAGGAACCGCTGCCGCTGCTGGTGCAGCAAAGACCAAGATGGGTAAACGTGAGGACGGTGTTGCCGACCCCAAGATGAAGACTACTGTCACAACCATGTTTATTCGTGGTGGACCAGCTGGTTAGTTACTCCCTTCTTCATACACTCTTAATCACAGAATCAAAGCTAATATGTCAGCACAATAGTTGGACAAACAAATTCCATCTCCACAGTCCGCAACGTCGAAGATATCAACGGCTCAGCAGTCACTAAGCGTGAACCAAGCCCAGGTATTGATGGTGTTAACCTCAATATGGTCGAGGGATCAGTTGCCGAGCTCACTTTTGTGGAGACAAGGAGTGCAGATGATGAGGAATAGATTTCCCATTTCACTTTTTGCAATGAATGGATGTGAATGAGGATGGATTGGATATGTAATTTACAAGCGTCAAAAGATGAAGGAATCATTTGTTATTATTGACACGGCGTAGTAGCTGTGAGTGTGTTCTTTTCTTCTTCTTTTTCTTTGGTTCTTATGGTGGCGTTTTCATGGCTCGGGTCAAGCTGGAAGTATACCACACAGCTCTTACATTATAATTTGAACATGAGGATAGAATCTTATGGGGTCTCAATGATGGGCAGAAAAAGCAAGATAAAGCAACTCATATATCTATAGATATATCAATATAAAGAGAAATTCAAATTCAAACTCATCTTCTGTTGTCACTCATTGAAATCTTTATCTTCACCAGCTATTCTCCGCTCAAGTCCAGTTCTCACTCTGCTCTTCCCCTTCTCGAATGAATCCATACTAAAGGGAAATTCCCACCGACGCCGTGATCTAGAAATCTAGATCTGACCCACAACTTTCAGTGTCAAAGCCAAGGTTCAAGAGCCTTATACCCTTCGGTAGTGCCCGCAAGCCGAGCCGTCAGTGCTCTGGCCGGCCCAACCTCTTTTGGAAACGCATGATTCCCAAATGATCGCCAAGCCAGGGTCGAGAGTTTGAAACAACGGGGTTTTCTTGGCTGGCACAATGATAATACACACTGAATATTTCTTTGGTGGCGATAATGGGTGGGTATTGAGATGAAGATAAGTATAAAGGGAGACTCTGGATCCTGGTAGAGCAAATATTGACAGGTGGACATATCGATGGAGATGTGGACTTGGGCGGAGAATGTCGAGCCGGTTGGGGGATCGGCGGATGGGGTAGATGTGGTGAAGCGAGCGTAAGATGTTGGTTTCGATGATGGATTTTATCCACTTTCTGTTTCTGCTTGGGGGCCTCACAATTTTCAGGGTGCATTTGTCCTCGCTTCATAGAACTTCTTCGCAATTTGGGTACCTAGGTAGGTAGGTATCTTGAACAATGGCATGAAGATTCTCATTACGATAAATTGAGAAAACAATTCGAATTGCTATTACTCATTCAGGAGGACTGTGGAAGTTCTCATCTAAACGTTTCAAGGATGAAAAGCAATATATAATTTAAATATAAACAATGATTAATGCTGCTCAGAGTCCTTCAGGCCTGGAAAGCTATATATTTAAACAATCATTTTTCGATGGGTTATATCTAGTAGATGGAACGAAACGAACCGAATTGCAGAGTATAAGGGCCAGACGAGGGCGAAAATCTAGTGGTAGACTTCTCTGAATAACCACTCTGCAGCGTCATCATACATTTTCCTTCCTATTACCATTAACTTTTCTCTCTTTACTTTATCTCTTTGCAGACGCCCCCCAGAATTCTCAAATCCTAGATCAAAATTAGTATTTCAATTTATACTTTCAGAGTACCAAGATCTCTACTAGTTTAGACTAGCAGACTGGATAGAAGCCTTCAAATTCCAAGTGTAACTCAACATTCGAAATTAATTCAACGTTTCAAATCTTCTAAATGTCCAAATCGGATCCAGAAATCCAAAGTCTCTCGTTATTGAACTGCAGTCCAAACTATTGGAAAGCCTGGCTACTTCATCCTTATACTCAAAGGGTCGATACAAGAGAAGTCTTCTCAACATACCATGCTCAACACCCATAATCTTCTCCCATCGCACTCCGTCCTTTTCCCAGAGTGTCTCACCCTCTACCCTCTCCTTACCCGCAAGCCTCTCCGCCATAAACTCGGCATCATACCACAACATATCCAACTCACACCCCACCATACAAATTTTCTTCGGCAACATCTTTCTATCCGCATAGGTAACACTAAGTCTCGGATCACACAAATCCGTTCCAGGAGATATATATGCATAGTTGAACGGTGGTCCCAAAGTTTCCAAAGGATCTTTAGTCGCATAAGAAGGTCTCGCTGCAATTGCGACTGATGGCGGCGTCACAAACCCACAAAGGGGGTAGAATGCACATACGCCCTGGATTTTGCCTTGAAGAGAGGGAGCTTGTGGAACGGCGAGGGAACAACAGCCGCCAGCGCTGAAACCACCAATAGCTACTTTGGAACGATCGAATGGGAGAGATTCGTCTTCGAGGATGGAGGTTACGACATCAGTCAATTCATTAATTGGTTGAGGGAACATTGCTTTGGGAGCTTTGGAGTAGTCGAGGGAGATGACCAGGATGTTGTGTTTAGAGGAGAAGTAAGAACAGAATTCGTCGTCGATGGCAGGGACACCGAAGACAAATCCTCCACCGTGGACGTTGAGGTAGAGGGGAAGAGGTGGGTCGCCGGATTTGTAGGTTGGTGGGACGAAAATTCTATGGGTGAGTGAGGAGTGGATGGGATAGATTTTGGTGAATGTAGGGAGGCTTGCTCGACCGCGCACATAGGGGGAGATCAATACTGGGCCCAAGATATTGGCAAGGGTTTTGATGAAGTGTAGTTTGAGCCACAGAGTCATGCGTTTCCATATCGGCAGCGTTGGGTGGTAGATTGGCCCTTGGGGGAGCGGAGGTGGTAGAGCCATCGTTGACCTGATGATTGAGCTTTGGACAGTATCCAGAGTGTAAACACACAAGTATAGTTTACGGGTGATCCTACTGTTTTATAAGTTCAAATATTGTACGACGTGTAAGCATATTTATCAAAACGGGTCTTTGTGGACCGCTCGCCGTGGACGGGGATTCGAGTACCGAAAATTCCGTTTACACCAAGAATGGTTAGAACGTCTCACTCTGGACGGAAAAACGGGCACATCAAAGCCGCTAAAATCAAGACTTTTTTCAAAACACTATTAATTCAAAATTCAATAATAATTTGAAATAATATAGTAAATTAAATATAATAAAATCATATTATAGAATATCAACCTGTAAATAATCTGCTTCAAACAAAAATTAAAAATATCGATTATTGATTTAAAAATGAATTTCGGAAGTGATAACATATTTTTGGTGTGTCCGTTTTTCCGTCCAGAGTGAGAACGTGCACACACGTTTCTCTCCTACCCGAGTATCGGCTAAAAGGAATATTTTGGCACCTGTTGAAAAGTCAATTTACCAAAGTCATTAATCATACTTGGATGGACGATATGATAGCGAATCTTCTAAAGGTATAGTAAGACACATAAAGAAAAATTTAAGAGAATCATAACAATATTGGATTACTTGCCACCACACACCTCAAATTTGGTATTCACCAATCACAAGTCCATATGCAAACGCCAACCATCAACTCCAAATTCTCCCGAAAGTTCGATGACCACACCAAAAGTAGAATCACAGAGCAAGTAATACCATTGCAAAGGAAATAGTAAACTCGGGGGTGTATATAAAGAATGAAACAAATACGAAAAAGCAACTCATCGTCCAAAATTGCTTATCTTTCCTCGTAAAATGCGGTTTTAACTTTGAAGTATGAAGGGAAAGCTGTTCTAGCCGAAATCCCCAATACTTCCAGAGTCCAGGTCGTGTCCAATCATCCCAGTTTATGCTCGATGAGTTCTTCGGTAATTCATCCACTCTCCACTGCCAATAGGCCGTTAGCCTCCCCAGCGATGTGAATGGCTTTTCTCTTTCGACCCAAGTACGCCAACGCCTTATTGCATGAGTTGCAGTTGATGGATCGATTTCCAACCATTCTGTATGCTTTCTAGGTCCGCGGTGGTTGCTTTTGCAAACCTCGCATTCAAACCACTTGCGTTGATTATAGAACTCTTCGAAGAGGATAGACTCAACTAACGCGTAGTAATAGAAAGCGTCTTCGTCATTTCCGCTGGGTGATTCGGTTGAAGCTATAGATATAGATTTGGAAATTTTGGAAATTGGTATTCTACATTTCGACCACTCGCGCATGCGAGTTTCTGGAGCTCTGCTTGATTGGCCAATCTTTATGTGATGAGGAGCATACCTGGGAGATTCAAAAGCATATATGTAACCAGCAGTAAGGTCGCAATAAGGCTTGAGCGGCTTCTGGAGAAGTGATTGTATAGCGTGATTTATTTCTCGGGTGCTTTTGCGAGTGGATCCATAAGAACAAAACTTCGGGCACTGTGGTGCTATCGCTGGAAGAATAGGATACTGAACAGGCATAGAATTGCAGGCATCATTGAAGCCCGAGCTCATGCGCCTTTCGGCAATGATTTCTTCTGCAACGGTGGGAAAAGCCCCAGGCATCTTCAATACCCTTTCAGCTTGGTTGTTTTCATTATTGACATCTTGGTAGTCAACTTCATCATCTCCTTGACCTTCGACTCGATCTCGACCTTCATCAGCTTTGGATTGCGAAGCCAATGCTTGATATTTACATCTTGAATTCCTTGAAGTTCTTGTGGGGGATTCATACAAATTTCGAGGTCGTGCAGGCCACTGATCAATTGATACCTCGAAATCATTTGGTGGGGTGATTGGCGACGAATCACGTCCGAAAGATCTAATCGAAAATGTGCTATCAGCAGTCGACATCGTACTGACACTGGAGACCGAAGATGAAGAGGTAGGGAACTTGCCCAATATTGGTCGATCGGGTGTCTGGTAAGGCTTGAGGCGTGGCCGGGACGGTAGACTGGATGCCCGGCTGACCGAGATGGAGGGAGATCGGTTACTCGAGGAGACATCGGTCTGCGAATATCCAGGACTCGACATGATCGATCGGCTAGCCAAAAATGTATTATGTGTATGTAAATTTCAGTTTCTATTGCAATATAAGTTAGTTTCCCAGAGGTATTCTGTCTACCTACTTAAATGTTTGATTTGTGGCTGGACAATGAAGGAGAATCTTCGTTCGGAGACTGATATCACGCCGTTTCTTCAATGGTCCAGGGAGCTGGCCAATAATGTGTCAGGCATAGTCGTTGTAGGCCAATCAAATATCCGCAAATCCTTGTTGATTCGTTACAAACTCGTCAGAACCAACATACCCGGTCTGCATAGCCGACACTATGCTGTGATTGAATGCACACTCGCGCATTTACTGAGAAAATCAGCCTCGACGATAATAGAAATTGTGGCATCATTGATTTTCTATGTCCCATTGAGTCCTTGTGATGATTCCAGAGTAGACACCTACTATGCAGTGCCAATTCAGGCCACCATGAAATCTCGACGTTCGGAGCCATTCAACGTAATGAGGTTGTATTGTTTGAGCATGGGACGGAATCGAAGACCAAATTATAAGAGCATGTATCCCTATTCGGTGGCCAGAGGATATTGGATTGGTTCTTGGATACTGGCTATACGTAGGAGAAAAAACAGGCCGGAATTGACCAATGCGTAGCATCTCTTTCTACACATTGTTTTGGTGAGGGTGTTTGTACCATTACGCAGTGGTCAATTCCGGCCTGTTTTTTCTCCTATGTATAGACTGGTTTGGAGGCCAGATCACTGACCGCGTCAGCTTGTTTTGGAATGTCCTACAATGCGACCATGAAGTATGAGAGAGAAAAGTCGCGAATCACAGACATCAGCGTCAGCAAGTTCGAAACACATTTCCGTGGGCGTATTCATGAGAAACACCGTAAGAAGCAGACTTCAAGTGCTGGAAAAGCTCTCGAGGGTACAGGTACCTTCTCCATGGAAAACATGTCTTCTAGAAGGTCGCTCAATGAGCAGATGAGAGACAAGAACGCTTCATCATCCCGCGCGAACGACTGAGGAGCAATTTCATGATCGATAATTATAATAAAAGGAGAGATCACTTCCAAGAAGCTCGAGCTCCCGAGGTCGTACTACTGAGAAAGAATTGGGGCTTGAGTTCCCTAGTCACGTCACGTGCCGGACTGGGCTGTGGCTGGTTGTGGTTCGTCTTGATGCTCGCAGCTCGCAGCTTGCAGCTTCGACTTCTCTTTCGCTGCAACGCAAACTTTTTTGGTCATTCGGTTAGAGTAAGAACATTTATGAGAGACTTGAGAATTTACTGAAAAACAACTCTTTTGCTCAATATCCGATTCATAATTGAATAGCATTGACAGCAACAAAGGAGTCGAAGCAGTCGCCGAAATCCCTACCCAGGTGTCTAGACCGCCGTCGCTCAATATGGAAATACGTACCAAGCGTTTATATGGACCCCTTTTTCCTCTTTGGAATACCAAGAATCAAGAGAGTACTGGTGTACGAAGTATAAGATTATGGACGGAAACATCTTGCTTTCACTTTGAATATTTCCTCCCCCATTTTTGTCGATATTACCTCGGGCTTGTAGTGCTTTAAATTAGTCACCTTGTTGAACGGAGGACTTCATTCATACTTTCCAAAACTTCGACCATCAGCGGGAGAAACCCTTTCTAAGACTATTCTAGCATCATACAATTAGCTTGTCGAATGAGATGCATGAGATTCCAAGAAAATGACTTACGATGTTTCTGGAATTACCTCGCATGAAACCATGTGTAATTTCGACCTCGACTTGGCCTCATGACCCGAGAGTAACCAAGGGGTTGTTGACCTTTTCGACGAGTATGCCAACAACACAGTCCTCTGTCTGTCGGTTAAACGCTGTCAAGTATCGTATTCGGAGAGCAAATCCCGGGTGCTCAATACTTCTCTCCCGTTAAAGCAACCATACTCGGGAGAACCGGCCTCGAAATCCCAAGACGGTGGCATTCCCATCGTTGTACAGACTCTCCGTGATGATTTATCTGAAGCAATAGCTGCGCCACTATAGGTCACGATGCTTACCTTTCTCTGCACAATCGGTAATTATTCCATCTTGGCAACTTGCCATCCTTCCCTTCCCCCACTCAAGGTTCAATCCCACTCAAGGTTCAATCCCACGCTGTCAGATAACAATACATGTATGGCGGTGCATGTGCTGTAGTACAGCGTCGGTACCGATCGGAGATTTTCTATCTGCATATCTGGGGAACATACACGGCAAACAAAACAATTTATTGTCGGTATATTCCACTGGAATTTATTATACTTGCAATGGTTTATGGCCCGGATTTTAGTTTTTTTTCTATGAAGCCTAAGCCGACTGTTCTAGTACACTCTTCTTTACCAATTTGGGTCGTGTAGATTTCTATATTTGTATTGTTCTAAAGAGGACGGTGATGTACCAACCACATTTCCATTTTCCTTCCAAAGAGGTCAAGTGATCTTCACGCATGTACATTGACGTGTTGAATTTCTATTTAGGCAATTTGTTGAAGATATTGTACGTACTCAGGGTCCTCTATCCCCAACACCAATGCCCATATCATTGGTGCGCAAGCTTTTGTCCTTCATTCAGTCTAGAGATAACTCCTCTCACATATCTCGGCGGAGGTTTGGAATTTTCCATCATACAAGAGATTTTCCCGCTACCACATAGTGCCGAACCCATATCTTGGCATCACCTTGGCACTCTGTATTGGGGGCTTGATCCGGTGTAGTTGGCGCTTGTGGCATGCAGGCATAAGACGTCGGTCACTTTGCCTTCATTATACGCTCCAGGAACCACCAGCGAGGAACTCAATGCCAATATTTACAGGGTCCACCAGGGCGCCGAGCACCGTTGAAGTATAGGCTTACTTAGCCCTGACTGTCAGATTCCTAATTCATTAACATCCGGCGTACAGACGGTCCTGCATTTCAATATGGAAGATTAACGGCAAATATTATCCACCAGGCATCGTCAGTTTCCTGGTGCTACGATATTCTGGAATAGGAGGAAGCTCCATTTCATCTGTTAATGCGGGGCAGAAGGATCAACAATATATAAAGAGATGTTCCTCCAGATAACGAAATCTAAACACAAAACATTGCAACCAATTCCTAGATTGTCAAGTCAACATTCCATAATATCACTCTTAGCACAATCATGCATTCTCTCTTGTTTTGGTTTACAGCCGCGCTGTTGCCTTTCGCTCATGGCGCAGGCGTTACCGGATCAGCTTCAGGTGCTGCTCACGGAGTTAGTATTCATTGGTGTACTGTTCCTTTCTTGCATACTAACCTCGTTTAGGTGACTGGTGGTGGAAGTGCTAGCCCTGTCACACCTACTACAACTGCCGAGTGAGTCGAAATGTACACTTGACATAGAAGCCTCAACTGATTTTCTTTCTTAGATTGGTCTCTTACCTTACAGACTCATCGCCACGAGTCATTCTTATCACCAAGACATTTGATTTCCGCGGTACTTTGGGAACTACCACTGCAACTGGATGCGTACCAACTAGCAATACCTGCGGATCTAGTGGACAAAATGCCATCAATGCAAATGGTTGGTGTGGATCTGCTCCCGCAACTACGGTCAAATATGATAACGCTGGTACCACACCAATCCAGGTCAAGAGCAACAAGAGTATTGTTGGTGTAGGCAGCGCGGGTGTTATCATTGGTCGGGGACTCTATCTCTCTGGTGTTTCCAACATCATTATTCAAAACGTTCATATTACCAACCTTAACCCTTCATTGATCTGGGGTGGTGATGCTATCACATTGGTATGTTTTGCTTCTCGGGGGAAGGGAGGTTGCAAAGCCAACATACTAACTATTATCTTTAGGTTGGCACAGACTTGATCTGGATCGATCACTGTAAATTCTCTCTCATCGGTAGACAAATGCTTGTCACTGGATACAATGCAGCCGGTAGACTCACAATCTCCAACAATGAATTCGATGGTCAAACTTCCTGGTCCGCCACTTGCAACGGCCAACACTATTGGACAATGCTCTTCTATGGTGCCGCCGACTACGTTACTCTCGCAAACAACTACATTCATCACTGCTCTGGCAGAGCTCCCAAGGTCGGTGGAAGCTCCGGCGATGCTATCACCATGCACGCCGTCAACAACTACTTCTACAATGTCGCAGGCCATGATTTCGATATCGGTGTTGGCGCTGCAGTCTTGTTGGAGGGCAACTACTTCCAATCTGTCACAACTCCTATCACAGCTGCTTCTTCCTCAGCTGGAGGCTCCATCTTCACCACCGCTTCTGGAACCGAATCATCTTGCACCGCATACCTCGGCCGTGCTTGTGTCGCAAATGCAGTTTCAAGCTCGGGAGCCCTTCCAGGTTACGGTACCACCGCCTTCTTGGCCACCATCAAGACCAAGGAAAGTGGCTATGTTCCTGCTGCGATTGCTGCTGCTTCCGTCCCCGCTTATGTCAAGGCCCATGCCGGTATTGGCAAGCTCTAAAGAGAGGGTTCTTGAACTCTTTGGCTCGTGAAGCCCATTACTTCCGCTCTCTTTCGCCTTTTGAAACGGGCCCATTCTTGAATATACAACTTATCTTGTACATACTATGGTTGGAACTTCTCGCTGTACATATTCGAAGTTCTTTCTTGGACATAATTTTAGTTGTACATATCTAAAACTTTTATCTTAAAATCTATCTTGTTACTATACTATTATATCGTCGGTCGTGCGTGTTCAAATTATTGCATTTTTTTTTCTCCCTGTATAAAGGTGCTCTGCTAAAGTTCAATCATACTCTCAATTTTGTGATTACCAGAAATCTAGGTTTGACACCTGTCTTCGCCTCGTTAATTACTCTCCTGAGAGATGTAAAGCTTCCAACTTGGTCTAGGTAGGTAGGTACTTTAAGTTGGCCTCGCTTATCCTATAATAGGATAATCAGGCTAAGTGATATGGGGCGGTCTCAACACGTCTGGCTTGGTTGAAAAGGGGCCTAGCAACGAATCCAAAACAATTATCATTCGCGCTTCGAGTCTGTTGTCTATGGACATTCATGGTGCGGTTTTTTTCCCCGAGAAACACAACTCTAGAGTTTGGGGTTGTCGATCTCGAATGAATGAAGAAAATATTGGATAACTATATTATTGTATTACTGTATCACTATAATCATATACCCAAATGATATTGCATTCTATCAATCCATCCTTCCCTCTCTCATTACTCATTACTTCATCCGCCCGCTCCTTCCAATACTCATCCAGGCTTCAGCAAGCTCTCTCTCTCAACAAGTAAGTACCCGTATCATATCATCATCATCATCCCTTCATAACAGCCGTAGTCACCGAGGTCTTCTTCGTATCTCTCTCACTCCTCCTATTGATTACGCTATTGATAGGATGTGCATCTTCATCTAGATGCTTTATCTTCACATTTACTTTTTCCCTCGCAGTAACTTTTCTTACCAGACTCTCCATTGCGCTGCTGACTTTTTCTGTGCGGCTGATCGGGTGGTTCGCGCAGATATGTATTTTTGTTTAGGGGGTTGAGATTCGCGTCTCATTTTTGAGGGGTTGGTAGATAGGGGGAGTAGAGAGTAGAGTAGAGTAGAGAGTAGAGAGTAGAGAGTAGAGAGTAGAGAGTAGAGAGTAGAGAGTAGAGAGTAGAGAGTAGAGAGTAGAGAGTAGAGAGTAGAGAGTAGAGAGTAGAGAGTAGAGAGTAGAGAGTAGAGAGTAGAGGGTAGAGGGTAGAGAGTAGAGAGTAGAGAATAGAGAGTAGAGAGTAGAGAGTAGAGAGTAAGGAGTGGAAATTTGGGATGTGTTTGAGATTGTTTGTTCTGTTGTGAGGGAGTATATAATATAATATGATCTGATTTGGGGGGAGCACAGGAAGATTTTCAACTAGATAAAAATCCTGCAATGAGGAGAAAGAATATACACCACAAAACTCAAATACCACCTGTACTTCTTCTCTCTACCTTATCCCCTAGACTGCCAACTAGCAGCGCCGTCGCTTAATATACACTTACTGACCAATTAGAACATCAGGATTTTGAGAATTCTTATCATTTTGATACGTTTTTCTATAATAATAGTTCAACACTTACAATTTTAATAAAAACAAATAATATACTTTGAAAATCTTTATATAATCTTTTATTTACTCTTTCTTTTTTTAATAAATATTAAATTTTTGATTTGATATATATATTTAAATATAAATCATATAGAAATTACCTACAAATATCTTCTATTCCCAAAAATAAAATATAATAATATTTATAAAATCTTAGAATCATTATTTCATAATAAAAAACCTTGGAGATATAATTAATATATTTATTATTATTTTTTCAATAAATTCTAAACTTCAAATATAATATTAAAACTTTTATATATAATACTATTTATAAGGTTATTGATGTTCTTGCTCAGTGCACGGACTACACACGGCGCCGCCTCTACGTAGGAGAAAAAACAGGCCGGATTTGACCAATGCTCTCTACGCGTTGTTTTGGTGAGGGCGCACGTACCAACATAGTGGTCAATTCCGGCCTGTTTTTTCTCCTACGTAGAGGCCGCTAGTTGGTAGTCTAGGGGATACTCTACCTTATCCCATTCCACATACCCCGCCTCAACATACCCAAGTCAATATAATCACTCAATATAACCTCATTATAAATTTCTAAATTTCTAAATTTCTAAATTTCTAAATTTCTAAATTTCTAAATTTCTAAATTTCTAAATTTCTAAATTTCTAAATTTCTAAATTTCTAAATTTCTAAACTTCTAAATTTCTAAACTTCTAAATCCTAAATAAATACTATAAATATAACTACAATCTAAGAGATTATACTATACTATATAAGAATAAGAAACATAACCAATACTATATATCGCCAGAACTTCTATTTCATATTTAATATCGTAAATCATATACTAAAGTATATATCTATAATATCTCAATATAATTATGTCTGTCTGTTTATTATTAATAAAATAATTAATCTCGATGCTTTAGTCGGGTGTATAGCGTGGAATTTAGGGTTGCGATGGAGATGGAGATGGAGATGAAGTAATATTTATTTATATTTGTTTATAGAGATATAGGGGTGAGATATAGTGAGTATATGAGTAGGTGGATGAATGAATGAATAGGTAGATAGATGGATAGATAGATAAATAAATGAATAAATAAATAGATAAATAAATAGATGAATAAATAGATGAATAAATAGATGAATAAATAGATGAATAAATAGATAAATAAATAGATGAATAAATAGATAAATAAATAGATAAATAAATAGATAAATAAATAGATAAATAAATAAATAGATAGATGAATAAATAAATGAATAAATGGATGAATAAATGGATGGATAGATGGGGATATAAAAGGGAGGATGTGGTAGCAAGGTAGCAAGGTAGCAAGTAAGTAGGTTACCTATTCAGAGTGGGAAATAGGAAATGGGAAATGGGAAATGGAAATAGAAATAGTAGATATATATAACCCAATTATTCAGGAATTATGCATGATAGCATTTAGATTTTGTTACCGAGTATGCGATATCGAATAAGAAAGGTAGAATGACTAGGTAGTAGAAATATTCGAAACGAATTAGATAATTCGTATCTTGTGAACTCACTCAGTATCCCAGATGTTTGGAAGGGATTGGAAGCTTCAAATGGTGTAGACTGTAGATGAACAAAATGGATAGATGAGATGATGTGGAATGAAAAAAGTACAACTGACAAAAGTCAGATGAGATATTATCACTACCACAATAGATAGAATAATAAAGCACAAGCGAGGAGCAAAGGAAATCAGTTGCAACTGAGAATATTGAAGACCAATGTTATTGATGAGAAACTTAAGTATTACGCATTAAAATATCGTGGTATCGTTACAAACATATATACATTTTTGTCAACTTTGGAGAAACATAATCTGCCAAATTGCAATGAGTTGTGCAGGTCCTTGCCTGACTCTTTTTCATCCCTCCCCCATCTCCTGCATCAGAATATCGCTCCGCCGGTACCTAGAAAGTACCATTGGAATTTTGATATTGATGAGTTCCTCTGTACCCCTCAGCTGGCATTTCTGTTGCATGAGGTGGTGCATACATTGTCGGACCAGTACCATAGTCCACACCGTTGACCTGATGACCATGGGTACCAACGACTGGGGATACAGGAGGATGTCCATATCCTGTTTGTGAACCATAACCTTCGTGAGTTCGTGCCACCATGGTTGCATCCGTAGCATTCGAGGTTCTCACATCATTAGGAGTAGAGTGGATGGGTAATGCGTCGGGCTTTTCTGAGACAACTCCTCCAGCCATGTATTCACCATCGTGGACTCGTTGACGTTTTGGCCAGAATCTTCCACGGGTTCCGGCAGTATAGCCATTGTTGGGAGATGGACCGAATGCCTTTTCTTTTTTGTGGTGCTTGATGAGAGCTAATTCGACAAAGAGTGAAATAAAGAAGAAAACACTAATATCGATGTCAGTGTGATTTCTTATATTTTCTCGATTGATCCTCTGCACATGAAATGAAGGAATAAAGATAGACGGTGCACTTACGCAGCGACAATTGAAACGGCAAAACAAGCTGTATTCAATCTACAGCTATCGGACAAACTAGGCAGAGATGTATTTCTCAAGGCGCCCACTCCGGAAAGTCTTTGATTCGTGGCAGCGATTCCATTGCCCAAAGGTGTATACACGTATCCGGAACATGATCTACCATGTCTGGTAGCATAAGCTACATAGATAAATGCGCCGGTGAAGCAGAAATCGAGAATGATAGCGATGATGGAAAAGAACATCAAACCGGCGACACAACAGAGAAGACTGAGTCCAAGAACTGTGTATAATGCACCTGAACCCGAAATACCTTCGACGGCTTTGATGTAGGTAGCGATAGGAAGCTTATTGGTAGAGAGTTTGGCGAGGAAATAGGCAAAGATTCCAAGAATGATAACCGAGCAGCAGAATTCCACGCCGCGAAGGAACCATTGAAGGGCTTTGAGTGCTACGCCGCCGCCTCTCATGATGAAATATATAAAGGTTTATGTTCCTTTTTGGGTATATGAAGGGGTAGATGGAAAAATATCAGATCAGATAAAAAGAAGAAAATTGAGGACAATAAAGATATTAAATATGGAGTTTCGAGAATATGAAGTGAGGGATGACTTTATGAAGATCTGCGTATGATGTCGTCAAATGGAGCCGGTTGATCATAAACTATAAATCGAACCACTCGGCAGCGGGAACCAATGATGATAAGTAGATGGTGTTGTAACCTTCACCTAGAAAGCCTCGTCTTCGTATAAGATTTCTTTGTTTTGCAGTTTGGTTGTTTTGCTCGGTCCTCTGCTTTCTTCACGTGCCTTCACTTTTCTTTGTTTATGTGAGTCTTCGCTCGTCGATGCAGGATTGAGTAACTTTGGTGGCTGTTCTCAATTGCCGCCAAAACGATAACGGCCGAGATCATTTGCATCAAGTAGGAATAGGAAGTAGCTACTTTTGAAACTACTCTGGAGAATACTCTAACACAAGATCTAGAGCTGTTCCTTTATTCGCACCAGAGGACGAAATGGAAGATCTTGTGCCGTTTCACGGGATGTACCGATTCCGGTGAAAGTATTTGAGAACATCAAGATTTCAGAAGTGATATTCAAGGACCTTTCCAATTGCAAAGACTTGGTATCCGTCTTCAATTCGTCTTCAATTCGTCGTTTTTGGTCATTAGAATCTTTTTTAACGAATGTCATGATTGTAACGTTTTGTCTTCCAAATGCTTGGGAACATTGATCGAGACCTTGTTGACGTCATTGCCAAAGGTGTTAGGATCAAGGGATCAAGGGATCAAGGGATCACATCCAAGATTGGTGATTCGTCAGTGGCGGAAAGAATAAGCTAGCTAAGCTAAGCCACAATTTGAAAACAGGTTCTTTCTTAATTAGTCACGTGAAATGCTAGCACAGCCACTATCGAGGGAGTTCTCTTAGAATCTCCAGATGAGATCTGATCGCCGATGACCTTTAAGTAGGTACTTGGTAGAAGTTCATACAAGTACCTATGTTCATAAACCTCGGGAATTCAACTAAAGAGACATGGAAACAGGTAGCGTAGGGTCAACCGAAGCCCTTATTCCTTGGAAGATCTGAGCACTTCCATGACATCTACAACTCAATAATTACCTACCGAGGTATACTTGTACACTTGTACACTGGTACACCACTCATAGAATTATATGACATTTGCATACCTGGGTGCAGACTATAAACTGTAACGAGTTGAACTCTTGTTGCTGTTTTGCTGTATTTTGGCTCATTGAATATTAGCCGTAACCCTTTTATTTCCATAACATTGTTACATTGGAAATTATATACCCTCCATAGAAATTCCAAACTACTTAATAGATACCGCCTAGTAGGTACCTAGTGTGTAGATTGAGACTCCAGTTCCGAGGTTAGATACCGACATTGAAATAAATGTTATATTATTCTTCTAGATACAATATATGGTCTTAGAATGTATTATATGGCTTAAATGGCTCCCAAATCCAGGTATCCTAACGAGCCCAAGATGTCTCCCATCCACCTGACTTCATGCTATCTCCTCCTCTCATGCTAGACACCCCCTTTCGACCTCAATTCTTCTTCTCTCGCTTCATCATCTCTACCTTTGCGTTGATAACGCTATTCCTCAACTGCATCGCATTACCAATATCATAGAATGCCACATACATTGCATATAGAGGTAAGAAAACCCACAACGTATTGAAGAATACCAAGTAAACCCATTTGAACATAAAGTTACTCGTATCCAAATTCTTACAGCCGATTAACCATTCTGGTGCAAATGTCATGAAACCTGTTATTCACATACAGAGTTAGCATATAATTTCCTATCATTGGATTGTCAGAGAAGAACCCCATGTACATACCACCATACAATTCCCCCGTAGCAAGCACCACCATCCAAAAATTAACTCTCCAATCCTTCCTCACAATCCCCCAACAAATCCAAAGTGCCAAGGGTCCAGCCCCAAGCACAGTCAACAACTCCAAACTAACCACTGTCAAATCTGCACCCGCCCATCTTCGATCCGCTTGCGCATAAACCATCCACAATTTACTCGCCCAATTATCCGCATATTGTGCTCCATATACATATTCGCTTGTACCCAAGAAATTAGATAGAGCAACTGGATGAGCAATTGATGAATCGAAGGGGGCGCGAGAGAAAAAACAGTTGTACAGGAAGGAACCCTCGAAGATGGTGTGGATGAGGAAATCGAAGAAGTGCCAAATGAAGAGGATACGAAGGGAGGAGGGGGTAGTGGGCGCGAGAACTCGGATAGAGAGGATGTAGGAGGATAGAAGAATTGCGACGACGCCGAGGAGAGAGAGGATAGTGGTTTGGTCGATATGCTCCATTATGGAAGACATGGTAGATAGAGAGTGTAAAAATTGATTGACTCAAATCCAACTCACCGATCTATCAAGATTTGGGGAGAGAGCCTGTAATTGTGCAGGGAAAGACAATTGAAGTCAATGGACAATTTGATCCAACTGTCGGTCCAAAAGTTTGAAAGCTCCAGCTGAAGATGAAGCTTTGACAATTTTCACAACTTTACGGAACGCGGAGAACTTTAATCCGTAGACGTGGTCGGAGCAAAAGCTCCCCACGATATGACATCATCAGAATATCCCCCCAATGATCGGGTGGAGAAGCGAATCCCGCAGGTCAGAATCTGTAGTGACCAGCTTTTTTGGTCATTTAGTAGAACGATAGTAGAACGATAGTAGAACGATAATGAAACAATAGTTGCTCAATTGGCTGAAATGTGGTTCGGATTTTGGCTTGAACCGGCCGACAATGGGAGCTTAGATTCACGTAACAAATGCAACATAGAAGACAAATTTGGTTGAGTGTCATAAAAGCATCGTTATTATGAGGGTATTGAGACCACTAGTACATGAGTTTCAGGCTCATCACCTCCCCAGGAATCCTCCCATCCATCCCATACGCCAAAGTCATTATGATAGAATGCAGAGAGTAAAATCCGTCAAATTGAGGAATTTAGTGCTTGGCAGCCTCTGTAGAAACCATTAGTACATGTCTATAAACGTTCAAAGGTGAGAAAACTGAAACGTACCCTTGTGGACATCAGCCTTGGTGTTGTGTCCAGACTCATCAGCCTTGTCCTTAACAGCATCGATACCGGCGCTGGCGCGGGTGGAAAGGCTAGCATCGCTATCCTTGGCGACTTGCTTGTTGGCCTCCTTGGAGGTGGTGGCAGTGGCACCTTGAACGGTCTCTGCGACGTAGTTGGCGGCGTTCTAAAATGATGTTAGAGGGTTAAGAAGATAGAGAAAAGATGGTTGAGTTGTATATGTAAGATGTTGTGGAAGTTTGGGAAGAGAAGATGGACTGTAAAAAGGGTAGACTTGCCTTGACGGTCTCCATTTTGAAAGGTTTGAAGTGTTGATTTAAAGGTTTGGTTTGAAGTTGTTTGTATTGTTGAAGTTGTAGTGTAGAGTTGTGAGTTGTAAAGTTGATGGAGAAGAAATCGAAAATTTGGGGAGAAGATGAGGTTTATATTCTGGTCTCTTTCTCCAAAAGGAAGCTAAGACCGAATTCACTCCTTACCTGGATAGCTCTAGTACGTCATACTTGGAATCTGCTTGGTTGGCAGTTGTTTCCAACTAGCAGACAAAGGGAGAGTTGATTCACCTTCTGACTTGGGAAGAAAGAGCTCAAGCTCCATCTGCTACAACAGCTGAGCTTCCATTGTTTACAATGACGTAGGAGCTTTTTGATTTGAGCCAATCAAGATTTGCAAAACACAAGCCTCATTACATAGTACGTAGCTCGGAGACGTTGCCTGTATCAATTAAAGTAGGTAATGGACCATGGGTGTGGTTGAGCCATTCAGGGGTCTCTATGAAGCTAAGCCATAAACGATACAAGTGTCACCATAATGTGGCTTGACCAACTTTTTCCCAAACCAAGTTGAGGGGAAAGCTATGCGCGGTGCGGATACCTTCGGTTCGGAAAGGCGATCCCCCGCCATGAGTGGCTAATAGGTTCACAGGCTGTATCAAAGCAGTTCTCATACAACGATACGAATACTGATTCTAGAATTTGATGTGCATGGGAAGCACAAAATACTTGCTTTTTGAGAGGGGCAACTCATGCTAAGTGGTTTCTAGACTGCTCTATGCAAAAGTTCACTCCACTTTTGCTTGATCTCGTGTTCATGAAAATCAATAAAATGGTGGAATGGAAATTACAAATTCCATGCTGTTCTTTTCCATATGTTCCAAAAACCCGATACCGATGCTTGTTCTCGATGATCGATCTCGATCGCCATTTTTTTCCAAGATTCTTTCTGACCTGCAATGCATTGCGTACTTATATTATCATGTGATTCTCTCGATGTGGTCTTCTATCTAGGCTAAATTATTGTACGGTGATGTATGATAATATGGTACAGATGTTGTATTCATATCAGACAATGAGATCTTTGATATAGAAGAGGGTAGAAGAGGGTAGAAAAGCTTTAAAACAATGTGAGTACTAGATATGAAGGGATAGATACATATGGTAGGTTATGTATTGAGTTACATGGTGATATGGTTCAAATGTTATATTCATATTAGACAATGAGATATTTGATGTAAAAGGGATTTGAAAAAGGGCTCTAAAACAATATTAAATCCAGATATGAAGAGATTGATGTATATAGTATTGGGTTATCGTCATATATAGTGATATGGTGATATGGTGATGATACGTTGATACATGGCGATGTGGTTCGAGCATTGTATTCATACAGGATCTTTGATGTAACGAATACTCATTGTTCTTTGATTAATAAACCCGATTGAATTTTCCAAAAAGATACCGCTCTCGGAAAAGAGGCAAATAGAGCAGAGAGAGAGAGATAACAAGAGCCGCCATCAATATACATGTGCCTCCATACCAGTAGATACGAATAGATTCTCCAAAGAAGCCATCTGCTTTCGTAAAACGAATAAGGAGAGTGAGGAGGCGACAAGCGCCGTCGACTAATAGAATCGATTGGATTCTCCAAAGACACCGCTTGCTTTCGTAAAGCGGGCAAATAGAGTAGAGACGATAAGCGCCGCCACTAATAGATCCGATTAGATTCTCCAAAGAAGCCTTCATGATATTAAAACTTTTAGTAAAACCATAAATATTCATATCTGACACTTATATTATCTTAAAACCCTTCTACCCTTCTACCATTCATGTCAAAGAGCTCAATGTCTAATATGAACATAATATTTAAACTATATTCATTATAAATCACTATAATTCATTACTATATACGAATATTAATCTCTTTATATTTAGTATTTATATTACTTTAAAGCCCTTCTATTCTTTTATATTAAGAATCTCATTGTCTAATACAAATCCAACATTCAAACTATATCACCACACATTCCACCGTATAACCATAACCATATAACCACAAAATTTAGCCTAACAAGGAGGCCCTCCCTCCCTCCATCATGCCAAAACTTGCAGTAAAAACCTCGACACGATGATTTTCTTGCAGGCTCTAAAAATTCGATCTTCACGATGAATATCACACCGGAAACATTTCACCTTCGTCGCCACGCACAGCCAATGCATGAGTGATTTCCGCGCATTGTATCGGGCTTGGTAATACGATCAGCATGTGGACACTTTGCCTCCCTGGGCCGCCTCTCCAGGTTGAGACTTTACAGCTCTCCGTTGCAATGATTTCAATTATGCCTTGGAACTTTTCCCACCGTGGAGATATTTTCTGAATCCAATTCTTGTTGTTGCAGTCCATTGTCTATCTTCGACAATGTTTGGGTCAATGCCTTACCACTCCGTCGACAGGGTCACTTCACACTGTGTTGTTACATTTGGCTCCCATTGGAATTAGAGAAGTTTATATCCTCAAGATTTCACCACCTTGTTTAATGCCACCGCGGAACAACTCTTCTACGACCTTCCCTTCTAATAATGTCGCCTGCACAATCCCTTCTACGTGTTTTGGTTCTACTCTCCCATACCAGATCCCACACCCGGCTAATGGATGAGCTTCACCATCTTTCGTCTTTGTATGAGGTGGAATATACAATATAACGTTCCCAGCAAACTTATGTCCTCCAATATGACTTATAGACCCGATTCTTGCAGTATTTCCAACTGCTTCGATTGGCCCTTCTAATCGTTCTGTAGAGCTCCCGTCACCTACTTCCACCGCACCGTGCAAGACCTGTACATCTTTCGCTGATAGGGCTCTTTCAAATTCAGTTTGCAAGATTGGAGCTAGAATTCCACATCTGACATCTCGTCCTCCGTGTCCGCAGATCAATACTAATGTATCTTTCACGTCTTTCACGGCGGGTAGAAAATCTGCCTGTTCTTTACTTCGCAGCAAGCGGTCTTTATGTATCGGAGATAGGTTATCGTGTGCGGGATGTAGTTTCGTAGGAAGTAAATATCCTTTCACCAAAGCTTGAACAGAATCGAACGATACTCGCGGGAGAAAAGGTATATATTTGAAGGATGGGACTATATAGGCAGAAGTCGTTATGATTTCGGGTCGATGTGAGGCAACGGTAGAAGGAAAGGATGAATTTGTAACAGCAACGTTGTTGTAAGGCTAATAAATAGAACAATGTTAATGGTAGTTCAACTGAAGGAAAGGTGATCATACATCACTATACATTCCGCCGCGGCCCATCAACTCCTTAATGTCCGCAGCGAGATTATCCCCGGAATTTTCTTCCTCGATACGAGAAGGCCAATCTGGCTTCCCCGTGCATATCAGGACTTGTTCAGCATATGCGGCCATTGTTCCATTGAGTGGCTTCGAATGGTCTATCTCGAAGCCTTCTGGCATCTCGGGGTTCTCTGCGCAAGAACATGTTGGTGAGGGGCATTTTGGTATGGTAGGAAATGGCGGAGATTTGTGAGTTTGAGAAATGTACCGAGAACTGCGCAAAGTATAACGAAGAGAAGATGTACGCCAAATTGGCCTACCAAATAAACGTAATGACATAAAGACGTGTTAATACTTGTCCAAAAGAAAAGGCAAAGAACACCCAGGCAATAATATTGCCATCATCGTAATACTTCTGGAATAAATGTCTTATCTAACCTCGCTGAAATCCTTATCTCCGCGCACTGATCCGCATTCAACCCACGGGCCGAGATAGTCACGTGATAGTAGGACGGAGGACTCGGGACACTAAATCCTCCAAAGAGAGCTATCCATTGATAACATTTGTATTTTGATGTACTTTGATACTTCATAATGATATCAATTTGTGTTCAAAATATAAATAATATATATAGATCTCATGATAGATTCGAAGCTAGCAAAGATACTTGATCAACTTCCAAGCAGAAACAATGATGGTCTGAATTGATATCGAGTTTTGAAATGAGTGTATATTTTCGGTGTCCTTGTTTTTTCGACAGGCGAGAGACTACCTCGTACCTACCTCGACACACTTGCCTATTTGGGATCCTTTGAGGTTACTAGGTAGGCATCGAAAGTCTATTAGAGTGTTTGAATGAGGTGCATGTTGATCGAGCTTAATTAATGGAATAAGGCTGAGTAGGGCTGTTGTATCTCAATATACTTTGAATATCCGGATAACGCTCGGTATCTGAATGTTTGAGCCGACACAATGATAAATTTGACATTGGATGAACACCATGCCTACCATATTGGATGTTCGAGTGGTGTCGTATCAATTGATCTTCTGTCAAGTAAGGAAAGCTAACAAATCTTTTGACCATCTCAAATCCGTATGTTTCATTTGTTGTCGGTTTATCATTCAATTGATTCGAAAGATGTCAAGAGAGATTCGAGAGACCAACTGCCGACGGAGATTTCTCAGTCGGAGTAGTCAGTCGGAGAGACTAATCTGGTGATCCGTTCGAGCCCGTATAAGAACTCACCCAGCTAACGGATAACTAGCTACTTTAATAATATACCTAGTACTCTTTATCCAATTTATATCCACAGATGAATATCAATAGCAAGGATTACCTACTAATAAGAAGGAGTAGCGTTGAGTATGAAACTCGACTACTTCTTACCTTCTCTAACTTTTCAACTCCTCTACACTTCTTCTCTACATCTTACCTTTGTGCTGAGAAAAGAAAATCAACGAAATAAAATCAGTCAAGGGTCATCGACAGTCTGTATCTTTCATCTCAAAACTCTGAAGGTATTTGCCAATGTTACCATAAGTCTAGACATTTGGAATATGAGATAATTATTAGTGAAATCTTCTATATTGCCACACTTTTCTCACTGTACCTTTCATGCCTCGTTGCCTGATATATTCACACTTTCCTCGTGTATCTGCTCGTTGCTATAAGCGACCAGAAACCTTTCTGATACTGACAAACTCGCTATTATTGTCAACGGCAGGTAAAGCAGCTATCCGTACAAAGATACTTCATAACCCGTTTGTCCAAAGTGCGTCTTTACAACCGATCTCTACAACCACATCTAAAAGTAGAACGACCATGTCCGACTCAGAAAATGACGAAGACTTAAAGAAAGCTATTGCTCTCTCTTTGGGAGAAACGTTATCGCCGGTTCCAATCCGTGAGAAGAATGTTGTCGATCTCACTACAAGTCCAACAACCATGTCTGACTCAAAAAAAGACGAAGACTTAAAGAAAGCTATTGCTCCCTCAAAGAGTCCACCAACTATGTTCGACTCCGAAAGCGACGAAGACTTGAAAAGAGCTATTGCTCTTTCTTTGAGGGAAACCTTATCGTCGGCCCCAATCCATGAGAAGAAGGCTGTCGATCTCACCAATTCAGATGAAGATGAAGATGACGATGACCTTGATGCGCCAGTCGCAACACATTTCAAATTTCCAAGAACTAATCCTGTTCTCAACACATGCACTGATGCTGAATCCAGTACCACTTCTCAAGGTGAGTGTCGATCTCACATCCTAAAAATGCGTATCCTATGATTTTGATACTGACTTCACTTGTAGTATCCAGCCAGCCAAGCAACACGTTATTCAATGGCCTGACTCGTAAACAAATAGAGGAAGAACGCTTAGCAAGAATTCAACAAAGAAGCAAAGAGCCAGATGCCACTTCCAAGAAAAGAAAGGCTTCGGTTTCGTCGCCAACAAACTCACTAAATGATCGCCGCCAACCGAAAGTCTCTCGGTCGGAACCCATATCCCATCAAATGACAGTCAAAGGTAGGAAGGTGGAGTCTACAACTCGAGACTCCACCGACAAAGGACTAGACAACGCACTCGATCAATCATCAAGCCTCACAGAGCCAAATTCCGAGACCGACATTCAAGCTTCAACCATGCCAGGAAAGCTATCCAAACGTCCCATATCAGAAGGTGACATATCAGGTACCGGCATTCAATTTCCTCTCGGGATTGTTAAAAAGACCTGGGCGCAAGGGTTCCCCCGGAAGGATGACATCAAAATTGAAGAGGTTCTTCAGAGTTCAACCCTTGAACATGCTGTTCTAGGGGCTTTTCAGATAGATTCTGATTGGATCAGATCGAAGATTCAACCTTCTACCAAAGTCATCTGGGTCTTGCAAGCAAAGACTGAAGCTGAAGTAAGTAGGATTTTCTTGATCTTGCAGTTTCATACAGGAAAATACCTCTGTTCTAGTTCGCGGTCTATCTATATCATCTTTCTCTTTCTTTCCAGGACAATAGTATCGATGTGCTCGAGTGGTCCATAGATCCTTTGGGTACAACGAACCGAGGCTGGAAAAGATTACTTCAGTAGACAGAAGCAACAGAGCTTCCCCAGGCATCAAAAGAGGCCGGTTCCGACTCATATGGCTGATCAAAATTATCTGGCTCTCCAAGAGATTTACCAGATGTATATTTGGACTTCTTTACGATAGTTTGGAAGTCGACGGCATGTCTCAAGAATTTCAGGGATTTAACTGCAACGGAACAATGAACTCGCTCTATACGGTGGAATCATTGGATGCATCGAACTTGAAGCTTGATTATGATATCAATTTATGAAGTTCGTGGCTTTACAAATAGCAAAAGTTTTCAGATCTAAGCTACAGTCAAGACCTTTGGAAACTGTGATCCAGTATCAAGACCATCGGCGTCTGTTCCGGCTTTTGCTTCTCTACTATCGAACTTTGGGGGATGGAAACCATGCACTGCACTTCAAATGAAACTTTTCGCTGACATCTTATAGAAAATGAACTTCAGGTCATTGGCACCGGAGACTTATCGATTTTGCTTTCCTCCGATGGAAGGCAATGTCAATATCATGCACTCAAAACTTCAAATCCTGGCACACCCTACGCATTTACGACTGGTCATACCCTCGGCAAATTTGACCCCATATGATTGGGGGGAGAGTGGTGGCATTTTGGAAAATGTGAGCGCCTACCTTTGATATCGGGATTGGACTGATGAAAGATGGCCAGGTCGTGTTCTTGATCGATCTCCCAAGGTTACCCAATGGCGAGAGAGCTTCTGATGACCAGTTAACACCATTTGCACAGGATTTACTGTACTATCTTCATGCGATGACTCTGGCACCTCGGACGATTGAAAGTCTCAGAAGGTTTGATTTCTCTAATACGAAACATTTAGCATTCGCACATTCGATGTTTGTTCTTTCCGTAACCCCCCTTCACTTGATTACATTTAACAATAGTCAGAGGAGGTTCCCATTTTGGCATGGAATTACAAAGAACCGGCTATCCGGGGTTAGGTAATTGTGTGAGGAGCCTGGGTCTGCATACCGACCACCCCTTGGAGATTGAATACGTAGTAAGCTCACACCCATTCAACAAAATATGAGGCTGCTGTCGGAGGCGGACACTAACGTCAACAGACATCGTCCATGGGAAATCTTGATGACCGATTTCTCCGAACAATGTATTTGGCAGCACAGGGTAAGCATGCTATTCTGACATCTGCATCATTTCCGAACTTTCCCCAGACTTTAATTTATTACCTGCCTTATCACGCGGATAATGGCATCCGCTGGGATGAAGTGGGTCCTTAATACGAGCACCCATTCTTGTCGCTTCTTGCCGATAAACGGGACTGAATTATTGTACTAGGCGATAATGGGTTCAAGGAATACAAGTGGAGAACAGAGAAGCCCGCAAGGTGCAAGATGGAGACTCAGCTTTCAGAAGAAATTGGGCGCAGGTTTCGCGTGTATTTTCCCAGGTAAGTTATTCAACCTTGTACGTCAGAATTGGTTGTTAAATCTCCATTTACAGCGAACAAACCGTCAAAGAAAGCAAGGGTGGCACAAATGTAAGAAGAGTCCATCATGGTTACCAGGATAAGAGGTCCAAAAGGTCATTAACTTTACGATGTACAGGCTGCTGGCACGATTTGCTTTCGATCAAAATGGTACAATGCAAGTGCTTTTCCAAGGGACCTCATGCGCGATTGTCAAAGTCGCAGAAAGGGATTATTGATGCACAACAAAATGTTATTCGTAAGATCCCAGAAAAGTCAAAAAAGTCCACAACCCATTGCATGGGCATACGTTGGAAGCGCAAACCTCTCGGAAAGTGCATGGCAAGTGTTCCGTTTTCACAAAATACTTTTTCTATTTATTGCGGTGTGCTGCTCGGGCAGAAAAATAGCTAACCTTACCAATTAAAGGGGCCGTATGGTAAAGGACAGAGTAACGAAGGAGCCCAAGTTGAATTGCAGCAATTGGGAATGCGGTGTTTTGTTCTCCGGCTCCCTCACCGATCTGAATGCACCGGCCGCTGTCCCTAAATCGGGCATGCCGACTATGGAGGCTTTTGATGGGTCTATCCCCGTACCCATGGTTTTCCCGGGTAATGTGTATGGATCGAAGCGCCCCTGGTATTACAGCGAATACCCTTAATTAAGTCAATCTTCCGATGCGATGATTTTCCTATTGGACCTGCCGTAAGTCAATCCTAAGGTGGTATTCACAGCTGCGGATACCTTCCCATAGCCTGCGCTGGCGTTATGGGCTGAGGGTCTTAGTTCCGACTGCGGTGTACCACGTGCGGTTGGGTATTGGCACCTCATGGATATTGCTCCCTATGATAAGCACGCAGTCCAATATGCAGATCTGTGGACAGTGACATCCACACTCGCTGGGGTTCAGGGTGCTATGAAACGTGTCGGTAGGGTACTGTTCACGATGATTTTAACATGAAGGCAGGCCCCTGACTTAAAGACAATGCGGAGAAATTTTTAACCAGTATGATGCCTGATGAGAACAACACAGGAATCGAGATTGTGTCATGTAGAATCAGTCAAAATAGATGCACAGTTGCCAAGACAGATGTGTGAAATTTCCTAGAGACAGTAGGGAAGTAGGATTGAGTGATTGCTAATTACAGGGTAAAATTCATCTATCTGCTTGGTGTAACATGCGATGATTGACGGCGTAAGTCTTGTAAAACGCATGCATTAGAGAAGCGAACGTGCATGTTCTTTGATTTTTAGGCATAAACCCATCGAATTATACTTCTAGAATTTACATGAAGAACTCCAACTACCTGATGGAGGTACAGCAAAACCTCTCTATAAGGATACCGGTTTTTGTAGTCTTTTTAAAGGATATATAGAGGTATCCTAATATAGAGGTTCCTCTTAATCCTGATATAGTAGTAATTTCTTTTTGCTTGATTCCGATCGGACTATTTTCGTAACATTTTCGTAATATTTTTTGACCTTTAATTAAATCGCTTTAAAACCCTAATATATTTGTCATATGATAACTAATTCCAATAATTCTATTGACTCAATAAGAATATATGTAATCCTGAAATCGAAAAATATAAGAATATACTAATAGAAGGGTTTTAAGAATATAGGCCTTTTTTAGCTCTGAAAAATATATTCTTATAAAGAGGTTATCCTTTATAGAGGGGATTCTTATAGAGAGATTTTTCTGTATTTCAATAAAAATAACTTGTCCTAGTGAATATATACAAAGTTATCAAAATGATTATTTTTATTTTCTATTTTCGTTATAAACATTTCATCTAAAAATCACTTCTCGAAAACTAGATTTCGACATAAGGATTGATCCATTAATAGATTAATCATTCCAGAATTGATAAGATTGCTTTTTCTGATGAAGTTCTATCTAATTTGAAGTAGAAAAATATTACATTCGAAGTGTTAGATTCGCTTAATTATCAATTCTCTATCAAAGTTGTGTGTAATCATCTTCAATTCAAACTTAACATACTAGGTAATCATGTTAATATTTTGAGGAATAATAGTGAGTAATTTTAGATGCGCGTAGAACCCTCTTAGAACCCGCTCATGTGAGAAAACAACCCTCTTTCTCCCGAGTCTCATCTACAACATGCCCAGGGCGAAACAAGGCGAAGGCCCCTCTAAAACACCTGCACCGGTATTGGATCTGTAATGCCGACGTCGTCGTTATCCATGGGGCCATCATCTCGTATTGACCCCGACATGAATAAGATTCCCTCATGATTGGCTTCTCATCACTTCCTGAAGATCGATGTCTAATTTGATTTATGTAAGCCCAGCAGGCATTGCCACATCGAACAGCCTCGTGGTGGACATGATATCCCTTGCACGGCATTTCCAGATGAGGTTTCATCATGCGCGACGAGAGAAGAAAAAAACATTCGATAATTCCACATGACCAGCAGTCTCGAAGTATGCCATTGTGTTTGGAAAGGATCAGATTATGGCAACGTTTGCGAGAATGTAGAATTAAGAGAGAAATATTGCTATGGCATGATTTTGCAATGTTCGTCTATTGTTTGACCTACACCAATGTCCATAACAACATGGTCAGAATAGGCAAGATGGACGAGGCGTGTTCAACAAGCATGCATCCTGATCTGGTATAAATTCGCTTTTAGGACCTTTTCAGCCAACCCACAGACCGCTCTCCTCATCATCTTGTAGAATCATGACCATGAGCCCACTTAAGGTCACGGACATTATGTTCAAACACCGTATTACCATGAGACAATTTGGGGGGCATCATGTGGAAAAATTGCTAAGATTGTACAGTAAATGCTCAACGTGGACACGGTATCTTTCTCCCCCAGAGCCAACATGGCGAGATAGCAAATTGGAAGCTTTCGAAACGGCGAACTCGAAAGTTTCGTCTACAGATTCGGGGATCTTCGCGGGCATGAGCGCCGACCCATACTGCTCGTGCCACTTTTTTCCCTCTTTGCCCACTTCGACCGTTGGGCAGCTGTGCACCCTCAGATCGGAATGCACCAGGGTGCAGCGCTTGATGGAAGAAGACTGAGGAAGAAAAGCGTCTGCTACCCAGTGAAATTAGGAGGATTTATTTAATTTGATGGAAGCGGATCTCGACAAGGGCCACTCCAAGTGAAATCAGTAGGTGAGCATCTGCAGTGACATGCCCATTGCCCATGTAGAAGGGATGTTACACAACACTTTGGTGGGGGTATCCAGGCCACTGTACGGTAGTTGGGGGTTCGAAGTCGGTACTGAAATCTGGTGCAAAATGAATGTGGACAACCCCCCGCTAATCTAGGATCTACCTTGAAAGGAGATGTGAGACCAATACTCGTGCGGCCGTAAAGTACCTGGTATGCAACTCCGCCACTAAGGGAAAAGGGGGCTAACCCTCTTATCGTCTAATGACTTCGTGGTATGTGCATCTAGCTTCATAGGTAGCACTAAATACACATCTTCCTTGCCTGCACGAGTATCTTGATTAGGCCCAAGTAGATCATGGTTCTGCTAGTCGATGCAACTTCGGTCAATCTCCGACCTTTTCGCCGAGTTATACATGGCCGTATATAGACCAATCGAATCACGAGAAATGCGCATTAATTTACTCGACTTGGGGCGGGACGTTTTACACTAATTTGGAGGAGGCAGGCCATACCATAGGTGGACAGTGGACATTCGAGTTAATTTGGGCGCAATAGAATCTTCAAGCTTCCAAGCTTCCAATCTTCACATAATCTTCACAATCTGCAAAGATTGAAGCAGGGCAGGGGGGGCAAAAGAGCGAGGAACTTCCACATCAATAACCCCCCCTTTCTGATTCCATCACAATGATTACTCCGTACTCCGTCCTGCTTAGAAATTCTTGGCGTTTACTTTTGCTGTAATTAGATAATTAAGGGCATAATTAAGAAATGAGCAAGTGTCGGGAAATACCCACGCCATGCAACCTACAACCTACAACTTACAACATACAACGATGATTGTGGTTATGATTATGTCAAGCGGGGATTCGATCGATGCTATCATGGGTGAATGGACCTGATTGGTTTGATTGGCTGTGATGAACTAACTACCCAACTGTCTCCTTTGCTCCGTTGATCGGACTGAATTGAATCGAATATCGAAGTTTGAAGTCTCAAGTCCTTCACTAATGATTCAAACGATCTCTCGGATAACCTTAAGTTCGAGGCCAATGGTCGGTCGATCTCCTAGCTCGAATTCCCTGTTCACACTACACACACTATTGGGAGATATGATCGAATGAAGATTTGATCACAGCTTTTCTCGTTCACTCCAGTTTCTTAGTCCATTCAATAGAGAGAAAAGCTCGAGGAAGGAAAGTAGAGTAACCCAAAATCTCAAATTTCTACAGCGATGCAATCCACCATAAAGCGTACATTCCACGTATGTTTTTTGGCTACTTGGTATTGTGTCGTGTCGATACTTGCGGAGTAGATACACCAAAGGCCTAATGGGCTGGCAATGCGTGTTATGTAATCACCGTAGCGATAAATGTTGAATTGTGAACAACGAAGATTGAAATGTCGATCTTTTGATGAAATCTTAATAGAGATCATGGAGTTGTGATATTGAGTTTCCAGATTATATTGCATGTACGGTACACCTAATCTCTTACTAATATGATATCTGAATGGTAGATTCGTACTGTAATGTTGTATATTCTATATCTAATTCGATATGAATTCGGTAGAGAATCAGGATAAAAATAGTATAAATTTGAATAAACGAGAGATTCTACATTTTTAAGGGTCTTGAATCTATTCACATCTCGAGTATTATTTTATAAAATAATTATATATGTTACACAAGTTTACTATACGCTCTCAATAAGCTTACTAATTATACCTATTTGGAAATAACTGAGTTTCCCATCAAAATCATAGTAAATGTTTCGAGGATTGACAATCACAGTATTAATTACCTGCTATCAAATCTCTTCAAGTCGATATCTCTTTCATCATTTTACTTGAGACCATTTTTTATGTCAATCGTGAAATTGGAAGGGAGCTATTAAGCTAGTCTCTTCAAGTTGATATTTCTTTCATCATTTCCTCCACATGAGACTATACTTTTGATGCCAATCGTGAAAATTTCGATTCTCTAATCACCAAATCGTATTAGAGTTTGCTAATATTGGGGATCGACATTTACCACATGAACACCATCACGTACTATATTGCCATTTACAAAATCTACTTTTGACGGTCGTGATTGTACAATGTTCTGTTCGTTACACACGTCGGTGTAGAGGCGAGCACACATAATAATCTGGATTGCTTCTACTGAATCTTCACGATGGCAACTTGCAAGGACTCGGGCCATTCAAAAGTGGCCAATTTTTCAGGTTGTGTCGGACCAGATCCGATTCGTCAATCTTCACGGTAAGTCCTAAGCATTTTGCACTTACACATCTCGCGTACAGACTTACTACGTAGGTGGCGCTACTTGAGTTCCAAGTGCGGTTAATAGTCTAAGCCTCCTAACGCCAATGGTCACTGACATTCCATCCTTTCCATTATGGCGAACAACTAGAGAATGACGATCGATCACTTCACTGTACCACATCGTCCACTACCTCGCTACTTAGACTTTCTTCGGTCTCTCTCAACTCAGATCTATGAACTCCCAGGAAATAATATGAATCACGGCCCGGTTTTAACAACGCGGAGATATATTGCAATGTTTGTGCGCATCTGAACCCATACTGGCCAAACCACACAGACGTCTCTGAAAATACCGTGAAAGTTCATCGCGAAAGGGCAGAAGTCGATATAAGGAGGATGGTAAACGTGTGCTTCGCTTTTAGCTCTAAAGTCAAATAGATTCACCGTTAAAGTTTGTGCTCGGATGTTTTCTGGTGGTTTGTGTACTATACTGGTTCGAAGCCCACTGGAACAGGGAACGAAAACTCTAAAACATTCCCAAGAACGATCACACTTTGGGTGTGCGATGTATGAGGCTACAGTATTTGTGCTGGTCGGTGGGTGGCAACTGATAGGGCCATGAAGTCACTCTAACCCGATCATGGAGAGCTAGAGTATATTTGTTCGCAGAACAGAAGTAGCATCGCAGAGTTTGTATACGTATAGCCAGGCTTCTCGTTTTCCTATTTCGATAGAAGATCGTAGAACCATCTTGTGTGTCACAGAACAAACACCACTTCAACCGCGCCCAGAACTGTAGACTGCGTGGTACACAATGAGGGGGAGAACCAGACGAACCAGGACTTTACACAACGGCTCGCAAGGAATTGCTCACTCGTGAGCCACTAACGATTAGGGATCGTGCGCAGTGTCTCTCCAATCCGTATACGTCGTTCATCTTCGGGTGCACAGTCGCTATCTAGTGTTTCTCAAAGTACAAGAGGCCTAGAAGATCGTTTCGAGGATCAAAAACTAGGCCTGGTATGGTACTTAATACCGAAAATCCACCGGGTCATTCTGTTACTGTTATGCTCAGGAGGTTCGAGAATGAATCTCAAGATGTAGGAGCTGCTGCGGTCCTGGATACCGAACCGTGCAGACGTAGGAATGGAATTTTCTCTGTAAAGTTTCGAGAAACAAACGTCTTTCTCATACAGTTCGGACATCTGTTCCATTGGAGCATCACAAGATGTTTCAACTTGCACAAAAAATGTAATAATAGAACACACACTGCTAATAATGCTAAGAAAGTCGTCCACCTTTGAAGACTTGACAGCCAAGAGGAGTTTCCAACTTGTCGACGGAGAGCACCCACTACTTCCTTGCCATGAGAAACTCTGATCACAGCCAAGCCAGTACAGATCCCAGATAAGCAGAATACCGGTACCCGCCTGCAACGTGCTCCTCCGTACATAAACTTTCGGGAGGTGGCCCCGTCTGCATCTTTGACACTTCCTAATGGCAACTCAAAGGAAATACAACATGAACTCTACGAAATGTGAATTTCCCGGCCGCCGACTTGAGCATCAAGTGAAACCCATGGAAAAGAGCCTTTCTTTCTCTAATCATCTCGCTACCTTGTAGCATAATAATAAGTATTAAGCTTTCTTCAGACTAATGCTTCCCCGAGAAGCGGCAGCTCTCACCTCCCCCCCTGCAAAGACCATGTCACGAAGAGCTAAGCATTTTCAAGCGTGAATATTGTATCATTGTTATCTATGGAGTGGTTAGGATTCACGTATGGGATGCTAATGCATTTACGATCTCTGCTGCTGTGATGTTCCATTTGTTCAGAGAGGTGTCGTATAGTGATTTCGGCTCTTGTGAATCCATGTTGTACATACGATGTAGAGCCAAAGCTAATCCGCAGCACACCTTGTCAATTAATATTGGAAATAATTTGCTCAGCTGTGTTATGTATGAAATTAAATGTCGAGAATCCAGATTACAAGCATAAAAGTACATTCTACGGAGATTTCCCACCTCCAAATGAGCAAATCCCAGCACCTGGCTGTGAGGGCGGGCATGAGGGATGGAGCGCAATGCATCGCCATCAAACAGGCATTTCGTTCTACGCTTTTACGTCCGTAAGGACTATATCCCAGACAAGTATTGACCCAAGCAGTCGTAGTGTCGACACGTTACGATTCACCAACTCACCAGCCGTGCTGTATCTTCATTTATTAATGGGTGTGTAGCTGGGTATGGGTACGGTGTGGTATATACGGTGTATTATTTTCAGGTTCTTCAAATTTAAAGGTTTGACGCCTGGACCACGGATAGCCCTGAACATTGGAATAAATTGACTCTTGAGTCTTTGACTCTCAATCTCAAGAGTCTTCGAGTTCAGTTCCTGCATCTTAGGCGCAACACAGCTCCTCGTCCCTTGCAAGTCGAGAGTTGAACAAGATGCTAGTACCGGCGATGAACCATTCAGAAAATAGCCGGACCCCATGTAGAGTTAGCGGGAGAACTAGGTGAAGTGATGCACAGATATGATCATTGATCACTAATTAATGGGCAATACACAAGTCATACATGAGTACATAGCTCCTACCTAGTTGCTACTTTTCGTCAAGTCTTGGTATGTCCACTTCTTGACCTCACCTACCAGATGGATTTCCACTCGACTAATCAGTTCTAACACGACTAGAGGGACTAAGACGACTAACCGGCCTAACTGGACTAACACGACTTGAGTTATAACACACCTACATGCATTACAGATTACAGATTGTAGATGATAGATTGCAGAGTGCAGCAGAGTGCAGAGTGCAGAGTGCAGAGGACAGAAAGTACCAATTAGTTTCGCGGAAATTTAGCAAAAGTCCGCTGTACACAGCTTCTGATCCGTCGGTAGTTTTTCGAACGGGAGACCTGGGTCTGAGTTCTCATTCCTAACTCTTTGGGACAAGACTCGACTCGACTCGACTCGACCGGTGAATGTAGCAAGCCAATAACATAAGATAACATAACTCGTAGCTCGTAACTCGGAAGTCATAACTGGACAATAATAATAAAGTGTAAAAGTCTGGAATCGTTGATACTACTAGGTACACCAGTAGTCCGCCTCTTACCACCACTCCACTTTTCAAACGTTTACTCTTTCTTGACTCCTTCCCTCCTTAAGTTAAGCGTAGATATAGATAGATAAAATTCATTGCTTTTTGCTTTTGCTTTTACTATTTAAATGATAGTAAAATGCTGCTAGAGGGTTAATAAATCCTAAATCGTTGCTACATCATGTGAGTCGTGACTTAGTATACCTCCCAGTACTTTAGCTTGATTTCTCCCCCGCAACTTCTCTCAAACTCTCTTTTTTTCCAAATTGCTCTTTCTATTCTGGAGATTTGGTTCATCACTTCTATCTTCTTATTACCATACCATCCCACACGTAAATGATAAAAAGCAAAAGCAGAAGGAACGCAAGAACCGATCACACTCTTCTTCTTCCCATTCATCCGACTATCATCATCAATCGTCTAGTTGAATGGAATCATTGCTCTTCACAGCCAAGCAAGCCTGACATCCAAACCAACATCGACATCCAAATCAGCATCCATCAGCCATCGTACTCGGAATTCGACCTCGAACATCCATCCACCGGAACGTATCGAACGAGAGCCCAAGCTCAAAACCCCGTCGTTTACATATATACCCGTACCTCGTCATTTCGACCTCAAGAACATCAAATATCCTCATAATTCTAAAGAAAGACAAAAAAAAAAGCTTTACCAGCAATTTGACATTTCCACATAATAACTTTCCATAGTTCAATATTGAACTTTGTTTTTCTCAGCCTTATTCTCTCACCGAACTTTATATTTATTAGTCGTTGTCACTCAGTGGAGTGCCAGCTATCATTGGGTCTCTTCTTTTCTTCCCACTTAACATCATCTCGGCTTGAAAATTCGATATTTCTCAATATACATTGTTCATTGTTCATTATTCGATATTCGATATTCGATCTTGAATCTATCATTACTCGTCCATCACACCAGGAGTATATCACCACTACTACGTTACCACATCCACCACCTTCTCCCGACAGTTCCTTTCTTGTTTAACCTTCTTCCTTCTGTCAGTCAACTGTCGTTAGTACACATCACAACCTACCCACCCCATATAGTATCACATCAGTCTCCATGATGGCATCGTTAGGTGCTTCTATGCCAATGCCTGTACCGGTTGCGGTGAATGGTACCCTTAAGCCAACCTGGTATGGCTACATCCCCGACACAAAAGCTGCAATGATCCTTCTCGAAGCTGCCTTTACTGGAAAGATTAATCATATTGCCCGTCGCCCCCATGACAAGGAGCGATCTGAACTCATCAAGAGCGGCAACATTTTCATACACGAAGCACAGTCCTCTGGAGTAAAACGATGGACCGATGGTACAACATGGAGTCCAAGTCGCATGGTAGGAAACTTCCTTGTCTACAGAGAGTTGAATAAGCCATTTGCACCAGGAGAGAAAAAGAGAGCCATGGCCAAAGACAAGAGACAAGGCATTCGAAAGAATGGCAATGGTTCCACCAGTCCCGGAGGCAGCGTTTACTCTTCTATGCATGGACCACTCAACAAAGAGATGGAACGTGAATTGGTCGGTTCATTAGTTGATTCATACGACTTCAAGAAGGATGGAAATTGTCTCATCAAGAAGACAATCACCGTCCAAGTAGGAGAACTCACCCATCACATTGTGTCGTATTACACAATCGATGATGTCGTCTCTGGTAAACTTTCAATCCCACAAAATGCATTCCCAGACGTCAAGCCGCGTAGGGACATTATCTATAGCAAAAGCTACAAGCACTCTCCCAATGACTCCAATCTCTTGAATGAAGACGACGTACATGAAAATCACCTTGCCTACCAACACAATTCAGGACGGAGCAATTACGACTATTCAAATCGAAATGCGCCACGACTACCAGCACCATCTGCGCATGGCATGGCATACCAAACCAACAGCCTTCTCTCCAACAACAACTACACAATGGGCATGTCAGCCGCACCATACAGTCTCGCGCCATTCAACGGAAATTTCCCTGCAGTAAGCTCAGGTCCAAGCTCTTACAATAACATTCTCTCTGGGAGCCCAAATTCCATCAG